CCGACAGTATAAATCCTTTTACAAAAAACTATTGTGCCATGATCAGCTGAAAACTAATAATGATGGAAATTGCATAGCTTTAGAAGAAATTTCAATATTTATATTTTGAATTTATATTTGTCTGTCGTGTTGTGTCGTGACGTGTCAGAAAGGTATCGGTTTCATACATTTAGTACGGTTAGAATTATATTTGTGTGTCGCATTATGTCGACAGATCGCGACAGACAAATATAATTCTAACCGTACTAAATGTTTGAAGCCGATACCTCTCTGACGTGTCACGACACAACACGACAGGCAAATAAAAATTATATTGTGATTACAGTAAAAAATCAAGTAACTTTAGTTTTATCATTCCTCTGTCTTTGAACTCGAATTATAATCGATTAAATAATCGATATATAAAATTCGGCATTTTTACTCATGCTATAACAAAACTGCAAAATACCTACATTAGCTCACGCCACATTTCTTATTTTTTAATGGTTTCTGATCCAAAGCCTAATAAGTATTACAATAAATTTTTTACGTATCTATAAATAAAAACTTATTTGAAAAGCGGTGAATTAAAGCAATAACAGTCAAGCAGACGGAATGGGCGCGCGCGACTTCTCACTTCAAGGACTAGCGGCGTACTGGCGCACAACTCGCCGCGGCTGGCGCCTTTGAATCGTTACGTGCGGACGAAGAATTCCCATCACTAAAATGCTCTTGTGACGTCACAGTAGGTACTAAAAATGTGGCACGCGTGGTTTTCATACAATTTGATGAACTTGCGTTATCTATACTATCTATGTCTGTGGTGAGCACCCTTGAAAATCGACATTCGATGTTTTCTGTTTTGTTATACACCATACAATATTTATAAAATTAGTTAAATGTACCCGTATTAAAAGAGTGCTGCCGGTTTAAGAGTTAATTACTCAAAAACTCGCGAGATGATTGTGTTTAGTTTCCTTCGTCTCTCTTTAATAAAAAAAGTTACTAATCTTTGACTTTTTGTATCTATGATTGATATTGCGTCATTCATTTATCCAACATCCGTTGACACTTGAATGTCCACCTGTCAAATATCGCGTCAAACGTCCAAGTGACAGCGCGATATCTAGTTTCCTTCTCTTTTAAGCTATTCTTCCATTATAACGTTCGTTATAAAAAAAACTTCACAAGCTAGATCAAAATAAAAAATACCATTGTGTAGCCCAGTTAATTTAAAATACCTGATCTGATACTTTGATATGGTAATAAAAATAGCTGTTATTATCGAATTCCCTGACTTTACTGATAAGAGATCGTTAATAATAATATTTATCTTGTTTTTGATAAAATTGATTTATACTTACATTGTAAATGCAAACTTGGAAAAAGATTTTTAGACCTCTATTTTTTGTGAATCGATTTATCGATTCGATGTTTTTCGGAATGAATCGCATCCCTAACGCATAAGGGTACGGCCAGAGTGCACTCAGATTCAGATTCAGACTCAGAAAACAAGCGCGAGAAATAGACAGTGTAGTTTAAGCAGGGTGGCCATAGTGGCAGCAGGCAACCTGTTTATTTCTCGCGCTTGTTTTCTGAGTCTGGGTGCGGTCAGAGTGCACTCAGATTCAGATTCAGATTCCGAAAACAAGCGCGAGAAATAAACAGTGTAGTCTAAGGGTGCGGCCAGAGTGCACTCAGATTCAGATTCAGATTCCGAAAACAAGCGCGAGAAATAAACAGTGTAGTGGAAGGGTACGGCCAGAGTGCACTCCTGATTCAGATTCAGATTCAGACTCAGAAAACAAAGCGCGAGAAAAAGCAGGCAACCTGCTTAGACTACACTGTTTATTTCTCGCGCTTGTTTTCAGAATCTGAATCTGAATCTGAATCTGAGTGCACTCTGGCCGCACCCTAAGCAGGTTGCCTGCTTTTTCTCGCGCTTGTTTTCTGAGTCTGAATCTGAATCAGGAGTGCACTCTGGGCGTACCCTTCGACTACACTGTTTATTTCTCGCGCTTGTTTTCGGAATCTGAATCTGAATCTGAGTGCACTCTGGCCGTACCCGTACCCTCTGAATCTGATTCTGAATCTGAGTGCACTGTGGCCGTACCCTAAGAGCACTGTATTCGCCACGTACAGACTAGTTATTTACATGTCATCGGTCATCACACTTAAGCGGTCTTCAGACATCCCTGCCGCATGGCCAATCTAGGGCGCACGGCGGTCGGGGTAATATCGGCTTGTCTCTACACACTATTCAGTGTTCGGGTATAAGTTGAGCTAACCAGATCGATAGGTATGGCCTTGGCCTTTTCTATGGCGTTAGCGCAAAAAAGTAAATACTGGGTAAAGAAATGGCAACAGAAAGAAATTTATTGTAAATAAATAATGTTTGTGTTTTTTTATCCCACATGTGGGGCCGGTCTTTATATACTTCTATCACTCGAGACCAAACTTCATGCTCATTATAATCTGCCACCATCTTGATCGAAATACGTGCGCTCCGTGTGACAGTTATCAACCAACTGATTGAGAAATTGTCCCGATCACGCTACACATGTGGCAACGTGCAGGGCGGCAAGGACAATCTAGGAATTAAGGGTGGTCTCGCGCTCCTGCCGCCCTGCCGCAGATCCAATTTAGAAATTTGCCCCAGCTTAGCTACACACATCACAATTAAGGAGGCAATTGAGGGTAATCCCCACTCTTACTCTGTTGTGCTGCTATGCTGTTGGTTGCCGATGACCTTTACAGCGTCACCGGGTTTGGGGACGACGGCGAGATCCTAAGGGGACCTCAAGCCGAGAATTGGCCAGTGCCTCTAGGGGTATTCCAGGCGGATGGCATCTCCCCACGGGGGGAGTCTCCTCTTCGTCAGGAGCCTCTAGACCACTCGAACTTAAGGGGGTCGGCTCAACTAGAGGGCGTCTCTGAGACTCGGACCTCGGCTCTAGTTAGCCGTTGTCGTGGGGGCCGGTGAAAAACGCCTAGGTACTATGTCTACCTGGTATACCAGATACATATACGTACCTGGGCGTTTTTGACATGCTATAACAGCGGTTCGATGTTCGGCGAGTGAACGGTATGGCATCTGCATTTGTATATGATCTAAGCTTATTCACCGTAGGTAACTCATTAACAAACCTAATTCGAGTCATCACTGATCGAAAATTAGCATCGATCATTCGATTCGATGTTGGTTCGTTGGTTGTTATTAGGGACACGAAAAAAGTATCGATACTTTGTGGTATCGAGTACTTTTCCTTTCGATACCGATACTTTTGTACTCGATACTTTGTATTCGATACTTTTACTAAATGAGTACTTTTTGGCAAGTATCGATACCTTTAAAAATTTGGATAAGCGCCTCATATTGATGGCAACGCCATCTTGTTAAATCATAGTAAACCTTCTAAAACGTTCCGTAGGGTATTTGATTAGTTTTAGGCAACGATCTTATGTTATTGACTAATGTTTATGGAGTCCGTAAAAAGCGGATATTCATCATTCTGTCGTGTATTTCAGTGAAAATAACCAAATCAAAAACTCCATTTTCAAGTTGCCGCGAAAACGTTTCTCTGGACAATATGGCGTCTTACTAGTGTGTAACGTCACACGACTGTTATTAAAACGTCAAACGATACAATGTAATGTCACTTTGACCGGAAGTTTACTTGCGCGTGACGTCATTTTGGGTCACGTGACAATAGATGAGAAAACTAACATCTTTTTCGGTATTTTGGCACTTTATTTTTAATACTGTCAAATGCCCTATTGCGTTAGTCAGTAACTGACATATTCAAATTCTTTCCAATCTGTGACTGTGTTTATTTTGCGCTTTGTTTTGTTTCATAGTTATTTATTTAGCGACCATATTGTTAGGAACTGTGATTGATTCGCCGTTTATTGTGTTTTTCGCTTGACTGTATTTGATTTATTCAAGTGTAACACTATTATTCTGTCTGTGCTGTGTATACCTATTTGAAACCACCTGAAAAAAAGACGGACGTAACCTCTTCTATAATTATAATCTTGAGTGAAGCATGCCAATGGCAGCCGTTAACTACTTGTCAGATTCAAGTTAACTTATGTGAGTATAATGATTTTTAATGATTAAAATTCAAGAAAAGTAAGTTTAATTTGAAACAAATCTGAAAAGTTTCATAATTTGAATTTTTAAAATTTAGAGATTTTTAATTAACATTTTAATTATGAATGTAATATTAATGAACACTTATTTAGTGTCAGAAATCACAGCTATTTTCTTTTCATTATATAATATAGCAATTTATGAATTTACATGTCCTTTTTTTGTTTTTGGTTATACGTACAAAAAAATAAAATTCGATTCGATAAAATTCGTTGCTCATCAGGCCACAGAGGCTCCGATAAGGCCCTATGAAAAGTACTCGATACTTTGAAGTATCGATACTTTTGTTTCGATACTTTGACGAGTACGATACTTTTTTACCGATACTACTCACGAGTACAGTATCGATACTTTCTATTCGATATCGTGTCCCTAGTTGTTATCTGTCACAAGTTCATAACACACAACTCCAGTGTTGCCAGGTCTCCAGATTTTACAGGAGATCTCCTGTTTTTCTGAAATTTCTGCTGTTCTACTGTTTTTCTACATGAATCTCCTGTTTTCTTAGAATACGATTATCTGTTTTAAATTGCATGGTGAATTGTATTTTCCACCATTAATAATGTAGGTAACCTCAATAATTATAAAATAAATGTTGTCTACAAAAAAAACTAGCTTTGAGGGGCGTTAGAAGTCACAGAAACACATTCGTTAGTGGTCTTTATCTTGATTTGATTTACCAATTCTATTTCATGCAAATCGGAAAGTACGCCTCTGCATCTACTGATTTTTCCATAACGCCACCCGATTTTTAAAAATCGGACCTGGCAACACTGCACAACTCACAACCGGTTTATTTTAAAACATTACGTAGGTACAATTTTGAACTTTATCGTTCTTAATTTTATTTGTTGTCTGGATGAGGAAAATTGTAGAATCTTACATAAGTACCTATCTAATTTAGTATCATTCTCAATTTAGTTGTAGTTCTTGATGATTTTACGTGTTTAGTAGAGGCAATATTTCCTTTGTAAATTATGTGGCAAAAATTAATTTTGGTCTGGAGTATTGTTTTAGTTTTAAATATATCAGCAGAAGAAGGTGATTAATTGAACATTTTTAAACTTCGTTATATAATGTTTATGTTTATGCAATTTGTTGTTTTTTGTTTTGATTGTGTTGTGTTTATGAAGTTTATTTAATTGACTTTTTAAACGTTTTAGTTGGAGATGATTGCGTTCCCAATAATGAAATTGTGGATGGTGTTTGTACATTGATTACAGACTGTGAGGTGGCTTTAAGGTCAGTGGATTGATACATAGTTCAGGGACAGTATTTGATCTCTTCTAATTAATTCAAATTCCATACTGAGTAGGTAACAAACCAATGCTACTTAAATTTTTGCATGCAACATATATTAGGTACCTATAATATTTTGGTTCTGTGATCAACATAAAATTCTGTGATTTAGAGGTCTTACAATGTCTATTAAATGAGGGACAGCTTAAGGTTACTTTTCACTTTATTCATAAATGCATTGCACATTCAAGTCTGACAAAGTTTGTAATCTCAACACTAGGTAATGCAGATAATGGGCTTTGAACTTAACCATTTCTATCACACACATATTGATATTAAATTTAGAGACTACTTGCAATCTTAAGGCCGTATTTATAGATCGCTCTCATCTCTGAGAGTGATCTTGCATTGCTGCTTTGTATGAAAACAGTATCTCAAAATCCTAGTCCCAGACTTGAGAGTGATCTTTCAATACGGGCCTTAAGGGTATCACTATTCCTTAGCAGTTTCATAAATTTAATATGACCACTATGTCTAGATTGTAAGCAAACTTTGGATTACTTTTTCACAAATGTAAAACACTGCATTTGGAAATAATCAGTTTCTTGGAGATAACCTGCTTTTATCAAAGAGTTCGCAAATCCCATCATCAGCAAAGAAGGCATATTCGCATTCTATAAACTCTATCAGATCAGTTATGAATATCCCAAAAAGAGCTGGTGCTGCTATTGATCCTTGGCGAGCACCACCGGATAAATAAATAATAGTATGCCGTGCGAGACCAGGTCTGTTGCGAGCTACGCTGCGTGGTATTTATTTTGTGTGGTAATTTTTTATTATTTTTTGTGCTAATTTTCTTATTTTATACATCAAAATAAGAAACTTAGCACAAACAATGTTGGGAAATGATTTTTCTTTTTTGGTGTAAATAATTACCACGCAGTGTAGCTCGCAACAGACCTAGTCTTCGAGGGGCCACAGTGAAAAAAGTAGGTTACATATACTTAAAAAATTAGCTTAAAATAAATTAGCCAGAAGCATAAATTTGTAGCTGTTGTGAGTCGAACGCCACAACTTGTGGTATAATATTTATTTATATAAAATTACATACAAAATTATTTATTATATAATTACTTACATATTACATAATTATATATTATATGCAATATCTTTTAAACTAAATATTTACATGCCTTCACTATTTACTACCGCGCTGTACGAGCAGCGCCGAAGGTATACTTGCACGTAGTCTTAGTGCATCCTATTGTTTCCTATTTTTTGTGCGATCATCTAAGGCCATATACAGAAAGAAAGCCGAAAGCCGATCGGCGCTTATCGGCGCCTATTGGCGCTGATCCTTTTTCTATGGACCGGCGCTGATCGGCGCCTATCTAAACAGCGAACCTAAAACAGTGTTAAAATTACTAAATTTATAAAAAATTAAAACCATGCCAAAAGCTCACTGTTGGTATGTCATTCAGTTTTATACAGCTCCTGTAAAACTTTATTTTATTTAATTATACCGTTTTGTTGGTGTCGCTAACTCGAAAGGTCTTGACTTCGAATCCCGGTGGGGGCAGATGTTTGTGTGATTTTTTTCTGTAATATAGACAGGGTTACAGGGAAAGTCGTACTGAATATTGAAGAACGTTATTATTCAGGTCATTTCTGATGGATTTGGTCCTATAATATGGTGTCCGAAACTTAACCGAAAAACCCTATATTTTTTGGGTTATTGTCGATTTTTATGAAACTAGAGCTCCAAAGGTTCGATTTTTTAATGTATCTAGTTAGAAAACGTGTCAAGCAATAAAAATAATGAATAAAAACTGAACCTACTTCTAACGGCTTAAAAAAACTGCTCGACAACGGTTATAACTAAAGAATTTTCAGCAAGTGTTCTTAACTTTGAAGCGCTTTTCTAAAAAAAAATGTATGAAACTTATTCTGCAATTAATTTTAAAAACTTCTACGTCTCTTTAGCTATTCAAAAAGGTATAAGACTTGCTATTAATAATTTGTATTTGAATTATTATCCTTAGATTAAATCAATCTAAGTTATAATCTTTTTATAAATCTAATAACTTTATCTTTTATTAAATAAAATAAAATAATAAATAAAATAGCCTTTATTTCAGAACTTTCTTAACAAATCATTGATTTAACATTTTACAATAAGTCATGCAGTTCTGTGTGCCTTTTGGCAAAGGCCTCCTCTAACCGACGCCATTCACCTCTGTCAGCTGCGACTCTTGTCCAATACGGACCCAGAGTACAACTGATTTCGTCTTCCCATCTTCTAAACTGGCGTCCTCTCCTGCGCTTTCCATCTCTAGGATACCAGACTGTCACTCGCTTGCTCCATTTGTCTATGGTACCTCTCAGCAAGTGGCCCGTCCACCTCCATTTTTGGTTGTCCACTCTAGATAGAATGTCTGTTATTTTCGTTTTAGATCTTAGATCCTCACTTCTTATTCTATCCCTTAGGCTTACTCCTGACATACTTCTCTCCATAGCCCGTTGACAATGAGTCAGCTTATCCCTTAGCTGCTCCGTTAAAGACCAAGATTCACAACCGTAGGTCAGACACGGTAAAATGCAGGTATCGAAGGCTTTCCTTTTAATGTGGATCCCCATACTCCTGCTTTTCATTATTTCCTTCATCGACCAGTATTTCTTCCAACCATAGGCTATTCTCTTGTTGATTTCTTTAGTCATCTGGTCACTAAAAGAAATAATTTGACCCAGATACACATACTCAGTAACATATTGAAAATGGTCCCCATTTAACAATAAATCAATGGGATCTGAGTTGGTCATCACCTTGGTTTTTTTCTTCTTTTATCTTTTATTAACTAAGCGCTAAAATTATTTGTTTGGAATGGTGACAACAAGTCTTTCTTCTGGAAGGATTGGTTGTTTATGCCAATTGCCCCAATTTTTCATCAAACGGTTTTTCACTAAATCCAAAATGTAATAAAATGTTTCTTGAATCATTCTTGTATATGTATAAAATCTTTGTTCATCAAATTTTTTTTTTTTACAAATAAATGATGGTATTCTCCGAAACGTTTCCTTTCTCTATTTATAGGATGTATAGCTGTTTTTCGCATTTTTAAATAAACATTTTCTAACAAAACCAAATCATCGTCCGATGAGTCCGACATTTTGCTTGATCTGCTTTAATCGGCTTCCTTTATGTAGGAAGGATCGGCGCCGATCGGCTTTCGGCTTTCTTTCTGTATACGGCCTAAGGGTGCGGCCAGAGTGCACTCAGATTTAGATTCAGATTCAGATTCTGAAAACAAGCGCGAGAAATAAACAGTGTAGTCTAAGCTGGTTGCCTGCTTTTTCTCGCACTTTGTTTTCTGAGTCTGAATCTGAATCAGGAGTGCACTCTGGCCGTACCCTTCGACTACACTGTTTATTTCTCGCGCTTGTTTTCGTAATCTGAATCTGAATCTGAGTGCACTCTGGCCGCACCCTAAGGTGCGATGTATTGAATTCTAGTTATTGACAGACGTTGCAGATCGCTAGTGATTATCTGACCACGACCGACGCGGAACGCACGCCGCTTGTACACACGCATCTATACTTCGTCTGCTCGCGCGCCAATATTTAATAAGTAATCTCTTTCCATTTTACTACTCCTTCTGATTCTATCCGTGGTAGAAATCTACCACCATCGCCTACATAGGAACCCCCTCACTGGTGACCCGTGCAGTTAACATGTTCAATATGGATGGAGGTAAAGCATCTACGAGCGCGTTAGGGCAAGACTACACCCGAAGCGATGCGAGCGTTGTTTTTCGAGTTGACATAAGGAACATACCATTTAATCCAGTACCCTTAGTACGAGTGCGAGCTCACGAAAACCATCATAGTTTTCGTAATTGTAAATTATGTTTCTCTGTCCATTTTGGTGAAAAGTAACCAAATGTACTTAAAATTTAAGAAGACACAAATGATTTAATGATATAATTTAAACACTGTTAATTTGTATCGAAACGAAAACAAAATCAGTAAGTACCCTTTGTACGAGTGCGAGCTCACGAAAACTATCATAGTTTTCGTAATTGTAAAACTCGTACTAAGGGTGACAGACAAGTCGTCGTTATGGTTTTCCATGTTAGAAAGTCAGTTTGCATTAGCTAATATTACCACAGATTCTACAAAATTCTATTACGTGATCGGCATGCCAGACCATCAATACGCAATTGAATTACACATGCTAAAGTTATTTTACAGAAACTTCAATTAAATTTAATTTGAAATTACATTTAAAAGTTAAATTTACCATAACAATGATAAAAAGTAGATAAAATATTTTTTAATTCTTTAATCATGATTTTTAGCCTATCCGCCTTCAAAAGTCAATTACAACAAAAATAGGCTGATTAAGTACATTTTTTTTTTATGATTTTTGGTAGTTTAGAAGCATGCGGAGTTTTTAATTTTAGCCAGAAGCTATGGAAACTCCTTTTTGTATTTTTGTATTGAAGTTGAACGTTTGAGTAAATCTTACTAAAAACTAAAGATCCAACTTTTAAGCCTTTTTTGAGTAACTTTAAGTAATTGCAGGAGGTTGAGTTATTTTTTTATTAAAACAACATTCAAGGCAATTATGTCACAAAAAAAAGACTGCAAAATACCTACTACGAAAAAGATAAGAATTTTTGAAACCTCGCTGGCAGACATCATTAAAAATACACAAAAAAAATATAACTCGAAGACTAAGAAAAATCGCGGAACATACATGGGGTATTTTCGGATACCCCCAAGTGCGAGGAATCTAAAAAAAATTTGTTGACGTTACTAGTTGGACCACCCTGTATATATATATATTGTATACGAAATCCATTTTTTTCCACTGTGGCCCATCGGAGGGCACGCTCATCATACGGCCGCCGCACAGTGTTTAAGAACCTCGATTTTGTGACATGCCCTTTTTATCCCGAATTCCTATAAATTAAGCTATTATAAACACTGGAAAAATACTGAAAAATTACTACGCCTCGTAGTTTTCGAGAAAAAAAAATCAAAGTTGACCTATTTTAGAACTTAACTTAACTTAAGTTGACCTATTTTAGAATTTAAAAAAAATCATCTAGCTCCTCTATTATTCATATTGTTTTAGTTTTGGTTAAAGGTTTATATATAGCTTTGTATTATACATCTTTTCACAAATTTTGAGACTTCTAAAGCAAACCTTATAGACCATATGACCTTTTTTTTTTAATTTTCGATTTCATTTTTTTTCTTAAGAATAACGGCGTATTCGGATAATATTTATACATGAAAATATTGAAGTTTGTTGTCCCTATGTAGAGTATTTTTAATGCAACCGAAAACCTCGTTATGTACGAGTTATAAACTAAAACATTAATTAAACATAATTCCGGTATTAGGGTCCTCACTTCAGGAACTGAGTATTTAAAAATAAAATGAGTTCCTATAATATATGTTAATAAGCATTCTTTTAACATATATTATATGTCCTATTTATTGTTATTGGAGAACAAAGAGAATATAACTTATAGGTATGTAAATAATAAGACTTAAGATAGTTTTTATTACAAAATATTTATGTATTATATGAGCAGCTCGATGGCGCCAGTGGTTAGCGCGTTCGGCTGCAGTCGTTGAAGTTGAGCAACTTTCGCAGTGGTTGGTCATTGGATGGGTGACCAAAAATTTACTATCTCGAGCTCCTCCGTGCTTCGGAAGGCACGTTAAACCGTTGGTCCCGGCTGCATCTGCAGTCGTAAGCACCCACCAACACGCACTGCGCCCGCGTGGTGGATCATGGCCTAATCTCCCTAACCCATCCATAGGGAAGGCCTGTGCCACAGCAGTGGCATTAATAGGCTGATGATGATGTATTATAAGGATTTACCGACTCAAAATCGGCAGTGTTATTTGTTGTATATTGCATGAACAATTATACAATATTGTGGAGTGACGATGAAAATAATCTTTTTGCTACTACATTTGTTCCGCTGCAGCTCGTGTTAAATGAAAGGGATGTTGTTTGGTCTAATCCAGCTGCACAATCACATAGATACTGCAGACCTATTCATATTCAATATAGGAAGGAGAAAGAATTAATTGAAAATCAAATATCTAATTTGCAACTGCAAGGCAAAACCTCACAAGGTCATAATATACCCGTAAGTTGTGAACTATATTGTGCAGCTATTGACGGAAAAGTCCTTAACATTTTATTAAATACGTCATCCCAAATGCGTTGCCCCTATTGTGGCTTAACATAGACCACCTTCAATAACTTGGATATGGCTTTTTCTAAGCTATTAAATCGAGAGCTATTGATTAACGGCTTAAGTCCGCTTCATTTTTGGATACGAGTGCTAGAATTTCTCTTACGACTTGGCTATAAAATGGATGTAAAAAAATAGCGTATCCCACACAATTCTATAGATTATGTCAAAGTTGAAGAGCGCAAAAAAAATATTCAAAATGAAGTGAGAAAGCAGATGGGTTTACTGGTTGACGTAGTGCGCCCCAACAACAACAAATGATGGCACTACAGCACGAATGGCTTTGTCAGACAAGTTCCGCCAAAATATTTCCCAAATCCTGGGGATTGAACAATGGCTGTTGGATGATCTCCACACATTATGTATTGTTTTGTCTAGCAATCATTCAATTGATTCCGACCGGTTTAGGGATTTTTGTAAAAATCTGGCTTATAAGTATGTGATGAACGTTGCACAAAGTTTTAATTCATGGTGCCGTTATTATCAAATCAGCCACTATACCTATAGGGATGCTTTCGGAGCAGGCTGCCGAGACCCGAAATAAATATTGGCGGAACGATAGGGAGCACCATACCCGAAAAATGAATGAATTTGTTTTATAAAGCGCTGGAAACATCGGACCCTGTTATATAACAAACATTCGAATGCAAGAAAGAAAAAAATAATCAAAACTTGACACCATTACCATCTGCAGTAGTTTCTTTATTAAAAGTGACAGATCCAAATGACGCAGTAAGGGATATTGATTTTGAGGACTACGTCGATTCTTTGGTTATAAATACAGAAATAAATGATTCATTGTAAATATTTATTTATGAGAAGTAATTTATATTTCAATTTCATAATTAAATGGCCGGAATAAAATTTTTGTCAACCCTGAAAAAAAAAAGTTTATAGCTCATAACATCTACATAACGCGGTATTCGGTTGCAAAAAAATACTGAATATAGGGACAATAAAGCTCGATATTTTAGTGAATCAAATTCATCCGAATTCGCCGTTATACTAAAGAAAAAAAATATAAATGAAAACTTGAAAAATAAAACATATCACCTATACGATTTGCTTTAAAAGGCTCAAATTTTGTGGGAAAATCTATTGTACAAGCCACATAACATACATTTAATCAAAACAAAAAAACATGTTGTATAAAAGAGTAACATTGTTTTTTTGAAAATTCCGGATCGAAAAAAGGGTTAACTTTGAAAATTTTTTTCTCGAAAACTACGTATCGTAGAAATTTTCCAGTATTTTTTCAGTGCTTATAATAGCTTAATCAATAGAAATTTGGGATAAAAAGGGCATGTCACAAAATCGAGGTTCTTCAAACACTGTGCGGCGCTGAGTTGAATGTTGAATCGTTGAAAGGCAGCGTTTGTATGTGTGCGTTTTCACTGTTGATATACATTGAGTGCAGACTTTTGAAAATCAGTATTTCTTACGAAATACTTTAAATCAGCAAAATTGGCCAACAAAATTCAGAGATATACGCGAACAACATTAAAAAATATATAATGACGAATTGCGAACCTCCTCCTTTTTGAAGTCGATTAAAAACCACTTCAAACTTTTTTTTTTCTATTTTGTCTGCAACATGACGGGGCTAAGATTAGTGTTGCAATTCGCAAAAAATACCACAAATAATGTTCTATATATTTTTATCCTCAAATTAATAAATATTTCCAACACTCACACCAATTAGCCTAGCCCCAAGCTAAGCACTATAAGACTTGTGTTATGGGATACTAGGGTAACGGATAGAATACATATACTGTACATATATAAGTATATTTATATAGAAATATATATTAATCCATGACTGGAGTACAAATGCTCGTATTCATCACACAAACATCTGCCCCCACCGAGATTCGAAACCGGGACCTCTCGAGTTGGCGACACCATGAAACCCGGCGTACAAACCACTCTACCAAGGAGGTCATCAATAAAATATATTAATATTTATCCGTTCTATCCATATTATTCCAATAGTAATATTTTATATGGCGGATATCCGGATAGTATGCCCTAGCCAAGACGCGCGAGCCGAGCCAGCACAGCGAGCGTGCCCGGCAGCGACCGGCCGGCGCAGCGACAGAAAAAAATTGTTATCAGACCTTTTTAACAAAAAAAAAATTTGAAGTGGTTACCGAATCAAATCCGAGTTCCGAGGTAGCAAGTGCCCCGGTTTATTTGCTGTCCAGTGTACATATTACAGGTCACAACAACGACCAACCACAGAAAGGAGGGAATTTCTTATATAATATCATCATCGGACAGTTTAGGTTATGACGGGTTAATGAATGAAATAAATTAATGAAATACGATGTGCTGTTGCGTGTATTTTATTAGGTTTTTTTCTTTTACAGCGCCTTGAGAAAACATAATTACCATACATTTCAAAGATGTGGGTTCAACGGCAATTATGAAGTCGTGTGCTGCCCTCGCACAACGGAGAAATTCGGTTAGTAATATTATTTTACGTATAAGAGGCACTGTTCAATTCATTTGTGCAATATTTTTTTTTGGAATTCCTTATATACCAAAAATTTTATAGTGAGTGTGCTAGGTAGGCGTTCAGTATATTATTTTTTAAACTTAAAAATAATCTTTCTCAGATGTATTAAGATACAAAATAAAATTAGTAAATAATAAAATTCTCTTGTCTTGTGGACCTACAATGAGAAGTTTCCTATCCCGTGGAAATAGGTGGTAATGTAATTAGACTAGAACCGCGTGGGTGGTTGATGCTAGAGAGAGAGAGGAGAGAAATAAAAAAGGGTTTTATAATAGCTCCACTTAATCTAAAAGTTATATAAATAAAATACCCACATAACATAACAACAACAAAATAAAACAAAGCTAAACAATTTATTCTATTTTGTGTACACATTTGTTATGTGCCATTCGACCTAAGGGTTTCGTAAATACACTCCCAGACTCTTCTTGAATCGAGCCACCTTACATTCCCGGGCCTAAAAGCCCAATACACAAAAAATATACAATATAACAAAAAAGTTTTTATGCATTTTTAATGCTGGCATATTTCATCGTCTTTCCCGTATGTATTATTCCAAATTTGAATTTTACAATTTAAAATAAAGAACAAAAGCCGAGCTTGGTCACTGATTTGAAAAAAATAATGACTGTTGTAAACCAAAGTTTAGTTTAGTTATTTTTCTATAATTTAAACCGTTTTTGGCTATAAAATTATGGATACTTCACCTGAAGTAGCCGCGCAAGCTGTAGCACTTCTTCAATCTGGGCTAAGTCAGCGAGATGTGAGTTCACAACTTCACATAAGTCGTTCCGCTGTTCAAAGAGTGTACCACCGATACCTGAAGACTGGCGAGACTTCGTTCGGCGAACAGGAGGACCTCGTTACCGAGTGACAACGGCGAGACAAGATCAATAGTGTTGTCACTACTAGCTTACGAAATCGACGCCTTAACTCTGTTTAGATACAAGAACAGCTCAGGGACTTTCACGGAGTGGCTGTAAGAGCTCGGACCGATAGAAGGCGCTCAATGAACGTGGTTTAAAGCCCCATAAGCCAGCCAATGGACTCAAATTGACACGAGCACACCGAATAGCCCGTCTAGAGTTTGCGCGCGAACATCTAAATTGGACTCGACATCAATGGAGCCAGGTTCTCTTCACAGATGAGTCCAAGATAATGCTATACGGTAATGACGGAAGGAGTAAGGTGTACCGAAGACAGAACGGGCGTTTTGCGCAATGCTGTATTGACGAGAAAGTGAGTTATGGTGGAGGATCATGGACAGACTGGGGAGGAATCTCTATGGAAGGCAAAACTGAGCTAGAGGTAGTGACGGGACCACGACTGCCTACCCTAGATGGCAATAGATACATTCGCCAATGTTTAGAGAACCACGTGATGCCATATGCTGGATTTCATCATCATCATCATCGACCCATGCTCGTCCACTGCTGGACATAGGTCTCTCCTAATGCACGCCACTGCTCCCGATTTTCTGCCACTCTCATCCAGCCCACTCCAGCCAGCCTACGAATGTCATCATCCCATCTTGTCTCAGGGCGTCCCACACTACGTTTACCGAGTCGCGGTCTCCACTCAAGAACTTTACGGCTCCATCGGCCGTCAGTTCTGCGGCTAATGTGACCAGCCCACTGCCACTTCAGTTTGCTAATTCGGTGGGCTATGTCGGTGACTCTGGTTCTCTGTCGGATTACATCATTTCTGATGCGGTCCTTCAGGGATACTCCGAGCATAGCCCTTTCCATTGATGCTGGATTTATTGACCAATATTTTAATGCATGATAATGCAAGGGCCTATACTGCGGGAATCGTCAGGGAGTACTTAAATGACATTGGTATCACTGTTATGAGATGGCCAGCGCGAAGTCCTGATATGAATCCTATAGAGCATCTATGGGATGAGCTGAAGAGGCGTGTTCGAGCTCATCATCCTGCCCCGCAAACCATGCAGGAGCTCAAAAATGTAATTTTGGTAGAATGGGAGGACATTCCTCAACATGTCATAACGACATTGATTAATTCTATGCCAAACCGTATGAGAGCTGTCATAAATGCACTGGGAGGCAATACAAGTTACTAAATAAACATTTCTTTTCATGTAAAACATGTCTTTATTTAATAATCAATTAGACTTTTTTCCTTGAAAAAAGCAAATATGAACTTGTTTCAACGTAACTCGACTTTTTTAATAAACTGTAGTTCAAATTTAGAACAGTGGCACTCGAAATGAATGATGAGTATACCAGCTCCAAAACTACATCAAAACATTTTCCTTCTACATACATCTTTTATAAGTTACAGAACTCCAAACCAAAAAAAATAAGGTGGCTCGATTTAGGAGTACGGGAGTGTATATTCGCAGTCATGCCCGCGCTACGAACATATTTTAAACTAATGGTCTTGTTACCTATCTTTTCGCGAATAAAATGAAACTTAACATCTATATATTTCGTCCTGTTATGATAAATAGGATTTGTAGCTATCTTTTGAGCTCCCTGACTGTCACTACAGATAAAAAGTTAATTTTGCTTACCCATAAGTTCACAAAGAAATCTGCGCATAAATATTGCCTCTTGGTTAGCATTATATAAAGCCATATATTCTGTGATCCGTCGATGAAAGAGCCACGGTGGGTTGTTTCTTCGACTCCCAAAAGATCGGACCACCGGCTTATTGCATAAAGAAACCGAATCGACGATAAGCAGCACAACTTGCCCAATTATTATCCGCGAAACCATCAAGGTACTCACCGGTCTTCCTGTAAGTAATACCATGATCAATAGTACCTTTCAAATATTTAAGTACTCGTTTAGCAGCAGTCCAGTGCGTCTCACTATACTTTGTATTGAACTGACTCAAGCAACTTACAGTATACACAATATCCGGCTCCTATCAGTATATGTATTCTATCCGTTACCCTAGTATCCCATATCACAAGTTGACAAGTCTATATTGCTTACTTTGGGGCTAGGCTAATTGGTGTGAGTGTTGGAAATATTTATTTATTTTCTTCGACTACTATTGCTAGCAAAGTTCGAAGTGAAGAATTCCTCACTACCGGAGAAAAAGTCTGGAAGTAGTTGATGCCGGCTTCTTGAAAATAGCCCTTAGCAACCAGCCTTGCTTTATATTTGGCAAAATTGCCAAGCTCGTTTGTCTTTAACTAGTAGACCCATTTACAACGAACAATCTTATTATCAGTAGGCTGATTTACTAGAGTCCAAGTTTCTCTTGCCATTAATGATTTGTATTCAGCATCCATTGCTGATTGCCAACTTTTCTTAATATAAATTAAATAGCAATTTAATTTAGGAACAATAGCAATATTCTTCATCACAGTCTGGAGTATCAAATTTCATGTCTTCAATCCCGGTGCAAAGTATTTAACACCATCTGAAACTGTAACCGACTCATTCTTAGAATATAAAATACGTCACTTTCTCCATATATTCAGCATTGCAGCTCATATGATTCGTGGCGCCGGAATCAACAAACCACTTCGTCGTTGATCGCTCTGTATCGACTGTATTTAATGCATCCTATGTCACATTTTCCTTCTTCTTCTTCTTACAAGGGCAATCGAGACGTTTGTGACCTGGTTCACGGCAATCATAGCAAATCACTTGTTTCTTGTGCTTTGAAAACTTCTTAGTTGGTTTATCATCTCGTTCATTATTTTTACTGGATGTACTCGAACGTAATGCCGAAGTAGACGGTTCATTAAGCTGCTTAGCACATTTATTTAGTAATCTACCCATAACTAATTCAGTTGTAATCTGGACATTACAATTTTCCGAGACCATTACCATAGGTTCATATAGAGGACCCAATGTTCCGAGCAGTATTGCTCCGATAGTGGCATCTTCTATTTTCACACCAATATCAATCAAAGCTTGTGCAGTTCTCAACACTTTGTCAATATATTCCTCGATATTGTGGTTAAAATCGCTTAGGGTGTATCTATACAGTTTCAGTTTTAAAGCAAGTCTACTACCTATACCTCTTATCTTCGGCAGTGGCCAGAGAGCATGGGACATGCTTGTTTTGCAATTTCAGCCTGCCAAACATGTGTCACAGCGAGACCTTCCAAGGTTAGACTTTTGGATAGGGCCTTTTGATCATTTGCGATCTTTATGATAGTATGCGTAATTTTCAGGGTAACCAATTATATCGTTTCCCACAAATCTTCGTGCAGTAAGTACATTTTCATTTTAAATTTCCAATCAGTTTAATAATTTCTACAGTTCAAAACTCTTACCGGCTGAGACAAAGCACCCGCTGTTCTGTAAAGAGACTTACATGTGGTTGCACTTACGGGTGTGATGGAATCACCGTCACCGGCCGTATTTTCAAAAATAATCCCAAAACCGTAAATCACAAATATTACATAAATATCTCAACTGAAATAGAAAAAATATAAATTACTAGCTGACCCAGCGAACTTCGTACCGCCCTAAAAAAATAGGGGTTGTCCAGCGGACAAAATTGTGAATCTAAACCATTCTCAGATCCCCTTGAACACACACAAAAAATTTCATCAAAATCGGTCCAGTCGTTTAAGAGAAGTTCAGTGACATACACACTCACAGAAGAATTATATATATAAAGACTAGAGCTTCGTGCTGATAACGATTTTTGTTCTAAATATCGAAATAAAAGCTTTTACGTGCATGATGTAAGAGTTTTACAGTTTGTCTATAAAGTCGTGACATGAATGTTTGAGGAACTAACATTATTCATGTGTCTGGCAAACACCAAACTTATGTACATCAGCTGTCATCGAATTTCAGTTGTGGAACAGTTTTCCTTTTGTATTTTTAATTGTTTGAATTAAACTGTAATAAATTAAGACGAAACTACGCAGAAAGGTATAAAAATGAGTAAAGTAAATCGGAGTGGCACGCGGGAAGTGATTTTTAAAGTTTTCCAGCGATGTTTCGAAGACTACCAAGCTGGACGAATTATGTGGGATTTGGATGATGTTTATGGGCGAACAGCATCTATGACGGGTATGTAATCGTGTAACTATTTGTTTGTAATCTGCCTGAAGTTACAAATTTACTCACTTTACGATTTTGAGACCAAAAAAGGCATTGTTTACATTGCACATTTTTAGGTTAGATTGACATTGTAAATAGGTAATATTGTAGTACGACCATTTCTTTTGATACGTTATTATGGTTCAACTCGGTCAGGTTTTCTACCAATTATGAATTAATTGCTTCATGTCAATAAGTTATTGTTTCTATTCCGTTACATATTTTTTTACTTTTTTTCAGGAAAATCAGAGAGTCGGATAGTCAACGAAGGTTTTAAGAATGATGGAAAGTTTGAAACTCCTGGGAAAACAGGCAAGGCCGACCAAAGAAAGAAATGGTCACATAAAGAACCATGGCCAGATGCTTTTAGTGAAGATACCTATCACTAATTTTACTAACTGCACATTTACAAATTGTTTTCTAAATAAACTTTTTATATACTATAAAATGATTTTTAGTATTATTTTCTTAACAAGTGTGTTAAAAAACGTCGTATAATGATACTTGTGTGTATTGATGATTACCTAACGGCTCTGGTCTCAATGGCACCTCAGCGGTAATCACCAACATTACACACTTTTACACTATAAAGTACTATTTTATCTATAATAATTTTATTCTGATTCAATTAAATATGCTTGGCTAAACTTTTTATAAGCATGGGTACCTACTATATATAAAACAGAAACAAAATACGACTGTATAGTGTGACTTAATTACCTATTTTACTTGAATGAACTGCTAGTATCAAAATCATTTTGGTCCGACTGTATAGGGTTGCTACATGCAGACTAGAGCGCGCCATCATTTAATGTCACGACTTTATAGACAAACTGTAATTGACAAGTAAGGAACAGCTGACTTGACACATATATTACTTATTAAAACTTCAGATTAAAAATAAAGTATATAAACCAAAATGGGTTTTACCTCGGAAACCGTGATGCGATTTAAAATTAGAACACGAATATCAAATAATCTACAAATCACGCCGCGAATTCGGCAGTGAAAACAGAGTTTGTTCTTACAGAATAGCACTGCAGCTGTATTCGCATCTGGTCTCCTTTCCACTCACTCTTTATGTCAGGTGGGGAGGAATGATTTGCTAATTAGGGTTAAGATTTATCTTACGAAAGTTCGAGTCCCACTTATTTACACTCACAGTCCTCGACGATTGTTTTTATTTTACACAAAAAATAATAAAATTATCATTGTATTCTTATGTCATTGTCATCATTAAAATAATAAATCATTGTTTTATGTAAATAGTAATTTTTTTTCAGGGTCATCAAATAAAGGAAAATTAACTAATCGGAAAGCAGAAATAGGTAAGTATTTAAAATAATTAAATAAACCTTTAGCGTGATTTAACAGTCTCGAAGTTAATAAGCCAAAATTGCTCATATTTTTCGAGGTTCTTGATCACGTATCTATATACCTAAAACAGATATCATTCAATTCCTCGTAATCTCAAGATGACAAATCAGTGTGTAGTAATTTGGAAAGCCCAAACAGTTGATATTTTATGATATTATGAAAAAGGCATGTCACGAAAGGATAAGAACAACATATATTTATTGTTTAATCGATCCTGTTTTAGTCGCTCCTCACCATATCAGAAAGTATCAGATTTGAAAAAAATTGTGACGCACAAAATAGATAGTACAGAAGGTAATCTACATACAAAGTGCCCTCGAGCACACAAAGGCACCGCTTATAGACACGATATATGGGACCGTTTGGGAACAGCGTGAGCGCGAGATCCCCATCCGCTTGAGACATGTGTCTGTGAATTTCTTGTGGAAAATTTTTGCAACAAAATTAATTTATTATGACTATCATAGTCATATCATAGTTCAGTGCGGATTGGCGGGTGCTAACGACTGCAGATGCATGTGTGCGTGGTGGGTCATGGCCCAATCTCCCTATTCTATCCATAGGGAAGGCCTGTGCCCCAGCAGTGGGGACATTAAGATTAAGAGGCTGATACTGATGATGATGATGTTCAGTGGTCGGTTGTTTGAATTCAACATTAATAGGTGAATTGCCGTTTTTTTTTTACCTAATATAACAATATCATTCAACTTTATTTTATTTTAATAAATCAAACAACTAAATACGTACGAGTGTCGCTACCTCGTTTTTTGTGCACAAGCCAAAGTTGACAATACCACAATACTGTACTATCTATTTTGTGGTATAAGGCAGATGTATGACTACGACGAACAATTCACTTAATACCTACTATTTAAGTACTATATTATTATATTTGTTTCTTACAGAATGCCAAAAATATCTTAATTCGAGTTTAGAACCATTAAATTTGCATATACTTGAAGGAGAAGCAGCAAATCTTGGTGAATTTCCTCATATGGTAATTACTGTTCTTAATTATAGCTTAATATAGTAGGTATTTGTATAAACCTAACATAATTACAAAACTTGTGTGTAGCAACACGGAGTTAATAGTAATCACTCTTCCTAGTATACAACTATAACAGCTTTTGTATTTTATTTCTATGATTAATGGCTATACTCATATCCCAAATTTGTATAATAACATTAATAACCGATAAAGTATTTTTGACCTTGCGATTATTCTGTTGAAATCGAGACTGTACCGGAAAAATCAAAGCGGGTGATACATCTGACGTTTTATTTTTGCTTATTAGATTCATCAAAAATTTCTTATGGTCGGTGCACTTGACAACTATTTATCGTAACGCTTTGACTGAAGCGAAGGGTACTGGATTTTCATTGACATTGTTCTAGTAAAAAATAGTAGCTTATGCGACTGTCGTATAAGAAGGGGTATTAAACACGAGAGTCTCTTGTCTGTCTGTTTTAATACCTATATTATATGCAGTTGCATACACTACTTTATCTTCACTCATAGGAACAATTGAAATTAAACGGGTTATGAGCACAGTGCCTAAAATGCAAGATGCCACTGCTGCAATAATGCCTTACACGTCCTTTTGACTAAGAAGCAGATTACCTAAAATGAAAGATGCCACTATAGGGATGATGACTATTTTTTTCTTCGTTTATCAGGTAGATATCAAAAAGTATTGGACACGTATTTTTTTTCACACAATATAAACATTGCAGTTATATATTGCAGACGTCACGTTTTGGTACACTTTTAAGTGAAAATTCACTAAAAAGTGACGTCAAGAGCCCCTACTAACAATATAATTAAAACTGTATTCTTCAAATACTTATTTAATTTTTGGGCCAAGAATAAAGTTTTCTTTTCTTTAAAATAAAAGATAATACCCCTAAGCAATCCTCACATCAAAAAACTCTCCTATCTCCTCCCTACTTGTAATCCGACAAAATTACATAATTAATGTATAATCAAATAATAATTACTTAAACTACTAACTTACTATTAGGTACTTACCTGATAATGCTTTAATTAATCGATTATATTTTAACTTTTTTGAAGTGACAATCTTCCACCAATCGCAGGTCAATAAATATTCTTTCATTTTAATTAATCTTTTTGCCTAGGTGTAATAAGTGATTTATTTTATGTAAAGCATTATACAGAGCGTCCCACGGCTATGCCACAGGCAGGGAATGTATATTAAATATTGATATTTTATTGAAAGAAGACATTTTTTTAATAAGAAGTAGAACTGCATTCAGACCCGTCTTGCCCAGTGGGCACTTTGGGCTAGTGCCCAGGGCCCCGCGATCAAAAGGGGCCCACTTCAGATCAAATACAAAGTCCCTAGTTCCTGTTAGATCACCAAACGGGGTTCATAGGGGCCCCATTATCCTAATTTGCCCAGGGCCTCCAATAGGTCAGAGACGGCACTGACTGCATTCATTGATTTTTTTAAAAGCGCCTGGCACAAAAGGGAATCAAACTCGTGAAATGTAAAAAAACCCAAGACGTATTTTATGATAACCTTTAAAAGGGTCAATCATAAGGATTATTTTTTCCTAAATAACATAGCATTTTAAATGAACGGAAAATTATGAATTTAAAATTTAGTTTAGGAAATTTTCCTCTGACTTTTCCATGCTTGCAAGAACTAACATTTCAAAGTGTATACTTACAACTAGTACCTACTTATTTAATAATACAAGATTTCCTTATTATAAGTACATGAAAATAATAATAAAGCGATACTTATGCAAACAGTAGTAGGTACTTGTATACATTTCTTTGTGAGGTCACAATAAAAATATAATGCGACTGACTTTTTTGTAGGGTTATGTAAAAGATTTAGTTTACAAGTACCGGTACGACAGCGTTTCGGAGTTACAAAATGTGCTTTGACGTATTATTTCAAACATTCACGACGCAAAGATATGTTAATCAACAGACAGATAAATAATACTTATTAAAAGACTGAGATTTGTTTACTACATGATGAATTACATTTTGAACATTAACAAATTAAATTAAAAGAAAAATCTTGTGCCGCCGCTCTTTTTCGTTTTTATATCAGTTTGTGTATAATTATTTTAAATTCATGTTTTGTTTTCGTTTAAAATACTCTGTTATTTAGGAAAAAATAATCCTTATGAATAAGCCTTTCGGCGGTTATCATAAAATCATATGTTTTTTTTTGTTTCACATTTCACGAGTTTGATTCCTGGTTGTGGCAGGCGATTTTTGAAAAAAAACTGAATTCAGTTATTCTTATTATTAAAAATAAAATTATGTTTTTTTTTCAGTAAAGTATCCTATGGTCAATATTTAATATACTTTCCCTCCGTGTGGCATGACCGTGAAGCGCCCTTTATAATAGAAAATTGAATTCAAAAAAATTCTAATTACACAGGTTGCTCTTGGGTTTGACCGGGGTAACGGATACCAGTTCGACTGCGGTGGGGCTTTAATATCGACTTTGTACGTCCTAACTGCTGCACACTGCATTATTAACTTGGAGAGGTAAAAATAATTCACTAATATATTTGGTCACTACTAGAGGAACTAAATTTTCTTAATACTCTTACTAACCCATTAAAATACTCCTTTTCCTACCATTTAAATACGCCTTTTGTTTCAGAGTGGAGCCAACAATCGTTCGAGCGGGTGTTGTACAACTGGGTGGCAATACTTTTGACGATGACACTGATTACAGGATAGCTCAGAGCATTATTCATCCTGAATATTCGCGGAGTTTAAAATATAACGACATTGCGCTGTTGAGGTGATGTACATCTTCCTTCTTCCTTCCAAAAAAAAATTTCAATAAATACCCAATGGGGTAGTGTTGTAAGTTAAGTTTTCACAATAAAATGACGGTCACATTCGATATATATATATCAATATCTTAGATATATATATATATATATATGCTTTATTTAATTAGATAGCATGGAGTATAATTATATAACGTTTTTATTGAATTATGAAAAGAAAAAAAGTTAGATTAGCTAGAGCTAATCTATTACAACTAGTTAGAACTAGTTGTAATAGTACTTACCATTTGATAAATACATGTATCTCCACATTACCTCGATGCTACATACGCTAATTATGAAAAAACCCGAATATTTTCCCATTTGGGAATTTTCCCTGGGTTTTTCCCTATTTTTTCCCACATTGGGGTTTTTTTCCGGGTAAAATCCCATCTCTAATCAGGATATCTTTTGCGGTACTACCGCTAAGCTAATGATATGTCTTTGTGGTTCATAAAGTAAGCTTACATTAAATTTATTTTATTTTGATGCGCCATGGTAAGTAAATTAACAAAAAATTGCAAATAAACGAAAATGAAACTCACGAAAAACAAAAGCACACAGGCTTGAAAATTTATATGGTTCATTTTTTGAATTATTATTACAAATTTCAGCCAATCGCATTGTAACTGAATTAAAAAAGAAATGCATACGTACTACAATTTATATAATTATCACTTTATTATTGTTATCACGTAATAAGACATTCCTTTCATTTAAAATGCTATGTTATTTAGCAAAACGTAATCCTTATGATTAACCCTTTCGATGGTTATCATAAAATATGTCGTGTTTTTTTTCGAAATTTCACGAGTTTGATTCCCAGTTGTAGCAGGCGATTATAAAAAAATTTGTGAATGCAGTTCTAGTTATTATTAAAAATAAAATGATGTCTTCTTTCAGTAAAATATCCTATGTTCAATATTTAATATACTTTCCCTCCGTGTGAGGTAGCCGTGGGACGCCCTGTATATATTGTTGGCTCCACTCTGAAACAAAAGGCGTATTTAAATGTATGTGTGTTTTTCACCGGGTTTTGAGACGGCGAGATCCTATAGTTACCTCTAGAGGTATTCCAGGCGGATGGCTTCTCCCTCCGTCTCCGTCTCCTCTCCGTCTGGAGCCTCTAGCTAGACCATTCGAACCTGAGGGGGTTAAATTCAATAAATTGTCATAAATGACGATCAGATTGGTCAGTCATATAGCTATAACGTGACGGTCATCCCTAGGCGTGCATCGTAATTAGTATCATATGTAAGTATATTTTCTATTCGCACATGTTATTTTCTGCCAGTACCACAATGTAAATATTATTTATGAAAAATAAAATTTTCTTATTATAAAGGTTCCCGAGATACAGTCCGCCCTGTATATCCCAGGTTCCGTTGTCAGCCTTTGGGCTGGGAAACCCTTTGAGAAAGTTCGTCCAAGGATAAGAAAATCATCGTCATCAGTCTATTAATATCCTCACATCATCATCATCATCATCAGCCTATTAATGTCCCCTCTGCTGGGGCACAGGCCTTCCCTATGGATGAAATAGGGAGATTGGGCCAGGACCCACCACGCGGGCCCAGTGCTGATTGGTGGGTGCTAACGACTGTATATGCAACCGGGACCACCGGCTTAACGTGCCTTCCGAAGCACGGAGGTGCTCGAGATAGTAAGTTTTGGTCGACCGACCACTGCGAAAGTTGCTAAATTTCAACGATCGCAGCCGAACGCGCTAAACACTTGCGCCATCGAGCTCCTCGTATCCTCACGCTACAGTACAAGTCTTTTGTCAACCAAATTTCGACAGGTCAAACAAGCATATGGCCAGCCTGATGGTAAGCGGCCACCATAGCCTATAGAAGCTTGCGATACATAAAATGTCACTCGGGCCGTCGCCTACCCTGACCCAATCCCCTACCCCTTGGATGCAAATACTCTTTCGGGCCCTCGAAAGCCACTCCTTCGTTGCCCGCGGGTCCTCTACACCATAAATCCGGCCCTGGTGATCCTTAGAAGAACGGAATACAGGTGCTAACGATTGCAGATACAGCCATAGCTGAACGTATAGTATTTATTAAACAGCGTGCAATATCTGAAGTGCAAAGAAAAAAACGAAAGGGAGTAGCCATAGCGACATATAAGACTTTTTAATTCATTCTGTATTTTTTTTGTGAGGGGGAATATGCATACAAGTGCAATTCAACGTTCACGCATTTACATAAATTTTACCTTACTCATGAACAATGACTGCAAACATGTTTGGTTTGTATGCCTACTCCCCTCTTGGTCGCGTCGGCCGTGATGCTCTATGCTGTAGTCAGTCTATCTCAAAATCGAAACTTGTTAAGAATGTGGAATTTTAATGATATGTCTCATATTATGCTGTATTTAAACAACAGATACTGAAAACGCCGTTTCAATATGTACTTTGAAGTTGATGAAAACAAATTATTTTTCCTTTCGCGGTTTTTGTGCCTAGCTCCGAAACGAACTAGCTCATAATTATACATTATTTTATAAATATTTTATTTTTAAGCATTTAACTGCTAAATTATAAAGATAAAATTACTAGAAAAATTCCACGCAGTCCAAGCAGCAGACGAGATTCGAACCCCTCCGTAATCCGGGCGGATGCACTAACCAATTATGCTACCGCGACCTTAATAGTCGTGTCGAATTTCTTCCAGTATTTCTTAGGCTGCAAGGCAGCGCCATCTCTTCGCACTTGCCTGGACCGCGTGGAATATTTTTTTTTAGAATACCTGATCCTGAAGAACCTCTTTTTGTTTCATTATAAATAAACATTTTCGGCCCATTGTCAGATTGCAGAAGCCAGTAAGTGTGAGTAGCACCCTTAACCCGGCCTGTCTGTATACGAAGGACTCGGATCCAGAAACCCCCCTGACTGTGACTGGCTGGGGAAAGACGAGCAATACACGTAATTTTGTTTGTTTTTTTATTATATTTTTAAAATGAAACTTTGGTTACATCGCCACAATTTTTTTCGATCATTTTTAGCTAGTCGCATTGCATTTTTAATTGTTATTAAAAAAATCACCTTGTCAACAAGCATCTGTGGCTCAGTGGAAGAAAGCACGCCTGAAACGCGGTCGGCCCGGGTTCGATTCCCAGCCAAGGAAGGACTTTTTTTATTAATGATATAACATTTTTTTTATAAAAGAAACGCTTTTTTTTAAAAGCGTTGTAACTCCTAAGCAATAATTAAACTAATGCGGGAGACAAAAAGTGTCATTGTACACTTCTTAAACTCTTTTTTCAACACCGGCTCGTTCGAATATTGTCGAAAAGGTTAGTAAAAACTGAATTATGAAATAGCGTCACATTATTATTCTTGCAGTTGAATAATCAAAACTTTACATTTTTATTAAAGGCACCACTTGATGTCGTGTTATTGAACATTTAATAAAACGTCTCTTGTTTAATATGAACTACTTATTTCATAAAAAACAAGAAACAACGCAGCATCAACATAATTTTGGACTACACATATTTTTCTTATACGATACATGTTCAAATCTTAACAGTTTTCTACTAAAGTAAAATTTTCTCCTAAAGTCGACTTGTTGTTATAAGTAAGTCATTGTATTGTATAGGTATATTTGTATACCTCACCTTAATCACTGCACTGATTCAGCTAGAAAAACAATAGACGGTATTTGTACTTAAGCGTTTTTATCTCGGTTGCGCACGGTGTGCAAGGAAATGACAGAGACTGTGCACAAAATTGGCGATTGTTTGTGAATAAGCTAAAAAAGTGAAGAAATATCAGTTTGGATAAATCATTTATAAAATAGTTTATAGCACTTCAAACTGGTTTATAGCACAAATTATTTAAATATAGTATAATTACATAATTAACCACGATATTTAGCAGTTGAATGATAGCTGTCAAGAACACTGAAGACATTTCTTGTAGGTACAAAGTCTATACAGCCAAATTTTTTAAACGTTGATTTGACAGATTATTATAAGTTGGTTGATGTGTCCGTTATGCTAGCGTACCCATGATCAATATACGGTTTTTCGTTATGCCATTAAATACTGCGTAAATAGTGCCAAATTAGTGTAAAAATAAAAAAAATAGTGCCTCTTTAATTTAAGAAATAAAGACCATTTTTACTGTGTACGCTACCATGACGTCAAGCTAGCGTACCCATGGCCGACCCCAAGAACGGCATATATTTAAGCAACGAAATTGACACACAAAAACAGTTCGCAAATAGTGCCCTGGCTTTACAAAATTTCATAATCAATACTCTTAAAGGACCAAAGATATTGAACTAAACATTCTTAGCTGGCGTCAACCTGGCGTACCCATAATAGTTCTCATAGAAAATGAACTTTTCTCGTTATCAATTCTATAGGTATAAATAGTGTGTCAAATAGTGCCTCTAACAGTAAAAGTATTTTAATGTTAATTCGCAGTAAAACAATATAAAAAAAGCAATTAAATTATTTTTATATATGAAGTACAGTCATGTACAGAAGTGATAATATTTTCGTATTATAGTAGGTAAGTAAGGTACTTAGTAGGTAGGTAGGTTGAAATTCTTATATGAATTAGTATTCGAATTGAAATATAATATCTTTTTATAAAAAGTACCTATTTATTTTAGTAAAAATACATATATAGATAATCTCTTAGTGCATAAATTAATTTTGTGTGTAACTGTACTACAATACATTTGTTCCTAGAATTTAACACCCTCTTTATGTATTGTTGCGATGCGGATTCACATAAAATACTTTTACTGTTAGAGGCACTATTTGACACACTATATATATAGAATTGATAACGAGAAAAGTTCATTTTCTATGAGAACTATTATGGGTACGCCAGGTTGACGCCAGCTAAGAATGTTTAGTTCAATATCTTTGGTCCTTTAAGAGTATTGATTATGAAATTTTGTAAAGCCAGGGCACTATTTGCGAACTATTTTTGTGTGTCAATTTCGTTGCTTAAATATATGCCGTTCTTGGGGTCGGCCATGGGTACGCTAGCTTGACGTCATGGTAGCGTACACAGTAAAAATGGTATTTATTTCTTAAATTAAAGAGGCACTATTTTTATTATTTTTACACTAATTTGGCACTATTTAATGGCATAACGAAAAACCGTATATTGATCGTGGGTACGCTAGCATCACGGACACTTGGTTGATTGGTCAGTCTTACACTAGGCAGTTTAATAACATGTAAATGGTATTTCTAAATTTAGTTTATGGACAGGTTAAATGTTTGAAATTGTAACTAAATGTTGTTGAAAATAATATCAAAATACCTACTTAAAAGGAACACTTTAACGGTTGAGCCCTATTATTGAGAAAAGATCAAAAGACATTGGGAACATTTTGCCCCGCTTAACGAAAAGAAGAAAACGGAGATAATTGAATCTATTCATTGAAATAGGTTTTGTTTGTCAGTTACAAACAAAACCTATTTCAATGAATAGATTCAATTATCTCCGTAGGGCGGTAAAAGGCGTAACCACGGATGTGCTTTAGTCAGCTAGTGTCATGACCCTGTAGTCGGCTGTAGGCTATCCATGAGGATTTCACATGCGGGACCAACGGCTTGACGTGCCTACCGAAACACGGAGGAGCTCGAGATAATTAGTTTTTGGTCACCCATCCAATGACCGGCCATTGTGAAAGTTGCTAACTTCCACCATCGCAAACCGATCACTCAACCACCTGCGGCATCGAGCTTCTCAATCTCACATTGATAATATTATTTAAAAGGCACTCTTATGACATTGTCCTTGTTCAGTAAACTGTTTCTTATCAATCTGCAGAGAATCTGAAGAGTAACATTCTATTGAAAGCCACAATATCAGCCGTGAACAGGGAGCGTTGTGGGCCGCATTACAGCGCGTGGAGGAAGTTACCGCGCGGCATCGTACCGGAGCAGATCTGCGCCGTCGACCCGGACGGTCATAGCGATGCCTGTCAGGTAAATCAGCGACATTATATTGAAAACTACAATGGCACCGGTGAACAGGGAGCGTTGTGGGCCGCATTATATAAGCTACCGCGCGGCATCGTACCGGAGCAGATCAGCGCCGTCGACCCGGACGGCCATAGCGATGCCTGTCAGGTAAATCAGTGACATTATATTGAAAACTACAATGTCAGCGGTGAACAGGGAGCGTTGTGGGCCGCATTACATAAGTTACCGAGCGGCATCGTACCGGAGCCGATCTGCGCCGTCGACCCGGACGGCCATAGCGATGCCTGTCAGGTAAATCAGCGAAATTATATTGAAAACTACAATGGCACCGGTGAACAGGGAGCGTTGTGGGCCGCATTATATAAGCTACCGCGCGGCATCGTACCGGAGCAGATCAGCGCCGTCGACCCGGACGGCCATAGCGATGCCTGTCAGGTAAATCAGTGACATTATATTGAAAACTATAATGTCAGCGGTGAACAGGGAGCGTTGTGGGCCGCATTACATAAGTTACCGAGCGGCATCGTACCGGAGCCGATCTGCGCCGTCGACCCGGACGGCCATAGCGATGCCTGTCAGGTAAATCAGCGACATTATATTGAAAACTACAATGGCACCGGTGAACAGGGAGCGTTGTGGGCCGCATTATATAAGCTTCCGCGCGGCATCGTACCGGAGCAGATCAGCGCCGTCGACCCGGACGTCCATAGCGATGCCTGTCAGGTAAATCAGTGACATTATATTGAAAACTACAATGGCACCGGTGAACAGGGAGCGTTGTGAGCCGGCCGGACGGCCATAGCGATGCCGGTCAGGTAAATCAGTGACATTATATTGAAAACTACAATGTCATGCGGCCCGCATTACATAAGTTACCGCTCGGCATCGTACCGGAGCCGATCTGCGCCGTCGACCCAGACGGCCATAGTGATGCCTGTCAGGTAAATCAGCGACATTATATTGAAAACTACAATGGCAGCGGTGAACAGGGAGCGTTGTGGGCCGCATTACATAAGTTACCGCACGGCATCGTACCGGAGCAGATCTGCGCCGTCGACCCGGACGGCCATAGCGATGCCTGTCAGGTAAATCAGCGACATTATATTTAAAACTACAATGTCAGCGGTGAACAGGGATGCGTTGTGGGCCGCATTACATAAGTTACCGCGCGGCATCGTACCGGAGCAGATCAGCGCCGTCGACCCGGACGGCCATACCGATGCGTGTCAGGTAAATCAGTGACATTATATTGAAAACTACAATGTCAGCGGTGAACAGGGAGCGTTGTGGGCCGCATTACATAAGTTACCGCTCGGCATCGTACCGGAGCCGATCTGCGCCGTCGACCCGGACGGCCATAGCGATGCCTGTCAGGTAAACCAGCGACATTATATTTAAAACTACAATGTCAGCGGTGAACAGGGATGCGTTGTGGGCCGCATTACATAAGTTACCGCGCGGCATCGTACCGGAGCAGATCAGCGCCGTCGACCCGGACGGCCATAGCGATGCCTGTCAGGTAAATCAGTGACATTATATTGAAAACTACAATGTCAGCGGTGAACAGGGAGCGTTGTGGGCCGCATTACATAAGTTACCGAGCGGCATCGTACCGGAGCCGTATCGCAAAGTGGGCATGTTTGTATGAAAATAAAGGAGTTGTCTTGGATGTGTCCCCGAGGCATCAACATACAGAAAAAAAAACTGCAGTGCAGGAAATAAAAATAAAATATTTTAAGTCTGTACAACTTAATAGATATGTGAAATAATACAAGTGATATTTTATGACGAAATATTAAAATACTATTGGCCGCCCGCGACTTCATCGGCGTTAACTTTGGTTTTTGAGAATACTACATGAACCTAACATTATCCATAAAATTTAAGCGTACCATATTTCATCCAAAATCCGTTCAGTAACAAACGTACAAACTTTCACATTTATAATATAAGTAGGGGCAGGATTTTATGACTATCACTTATAGTATCTGATGGTCTTTTTCAACCATGCCCTCCTAGCATGAGCAACGCGATATGACATATAGCTCGTTTTTATCATGCTCAATTATTGAATTACTATGGAATTCGACAGTTAGGCTCGATCATGGAGCACCCCCACTAGAGTCCGCATCACACAAATTTTGTTTGGAATCAAAATCGCCAAAGTCGTTGGGGTGCAGGGAGGTCAGCCCCGCTGTGATTGGACGCGTCAAGGTCAAATCATATACTCAGTGCAGCGAAGTGATGAGGGTAAGATCGATTTTAGAAAATATCGATATTTTCTATCGATAAACAATTTAGAATAGAGGCCTAGTACTTTGGTGCGCAAATGCGTAATCATACCCTCTCCACTTTCTTCCAGCGTTCTAATTACATGACGCGACTAGTAACTACATACTAAATTATATATAAGCAACACAAAAAAAAACACGTCCAGGACAAGAAGTATTAATGCAACTATATTAACTACCCTAGATACAACAACACGAACAAAATCGTGGCCGAAACGTGTCCAAAAGGTACATTGGACGATCCACGGAGGTCCGTAAGATGATCGCGTGGTCAAAAACAATATAATGCCTTATTTAAACATTGAAAGTCACCTTTAATGCATACGGCATAAGGTCTTAATTAAAATGCATGCGTCAAGTTCGTAAAATTTTACGATTTATTGTTATATGTGAAAGAATATAGACTTTATTTTTTTTGACTTTTCACGCACAATTCTGAATGCGCTGTTAGCAATATAGCAGGTACAGACCGCGAAGAAAAGAGATGGCTAAGGGCGACGTATAACCGACCATGCATTTGAATACCACAAATATTTTAAATTAAATAATTAAATCAGTTTATAGTAAGTATTACAACAATAAAATTTGCTTTAAAGGCGTTAATTAAAAAACATTTTTTTCCAGTAAACTTTTCTTTAGATTTAAACATCTAGCAGTTTAATGCTTAAAAAATAAATAAAATCATAAAAAAACATTAATTAGATACCCGTCGAAAAAACGACACTTTACGTACTATTAGTATTTTTCTGCATTTTTTCACGGAACTCTTTGGCATCTTGACTTTTCAACAGTCCGCGTGTGACTGTGTACTAAGAAGTGCTTGAGTGGAGTTCAAGCACTTCTTGATTGGGACACATTTTGAGCGCTCTAGGGTATTTAATATCGTTAATTCTATGTCTTTATCTAGGTCATAAACTATGCGCACTTAATTTCATACAAATCCGTTTAACTGTTTTAGCGTGAAAGAGTAACAAATATGCATAGAAATTTTCGCGTTTTTTCTATTTTATTAGGATATGTTTGAAGTCAAATAAAAACTGTTGGTTGTATACTTATGACATCTATTATTGTATACGATGAAATAAATAGTTTTTATTTATTTTTTCCATTTCCATAGCTGACAAACTTATCGATAAACTTACGCGTTGAGACATGAGCTGCGTCTGAGTCACTAGCAATACACGTGCCGGTGTGAGAGCGAGATAGCATATATGATGTAGCCCATGCGAGAAAGGGATAGATAAAAAGACATCAACGCGTTCACCAAAAAATAAATACAATTAACAGCAATTTAATATAATAGTATTTTTGTCTTTTTGTAATGCATTTAAACTAACCAGTGAAAAGTAATACCATTTTTTTGAAGACTGGAAGTTGTACTCGACTTTCCACACAATTTAATTGCACAGTACGGCATTTTTTACAGTTTTTTAACACGAAAACGAGAGAAGCAGTTCGACCAACGCTCGGTTACCGAATGAAACGATGTATCGCGACGTCTGTAGGCGTGCCTCACGCATAGGTAAAATACTACTTAAGCTTGGCGTAAGCGCTTGCCCTTGTATGCGGACTCTAGTGGGGGTGCTCCGTGGGCTCGATAAAGAACGTGACATAATGGTAATTGTACCACTCAGGCATGAGCACCACGATATGGTGTACTTAGAACTCGTTTTTAACACGCTCAATTGTCAAATGAAGTTTGACAGACGCGATAAAAAACGTTATATAACGTAAATTGAGGTGCTCATGTCCCTGTAGCAGGAGCACTACATTATACATTTTATCACGTTTTTTATCGTGTCAAACTGTCAAAATCCATAGTAATTTGACAATTAAGCGTGATAAAAACGTGCAATATATCATATCGCGGTGTTCATGCTAGGGAGGATGCTACGGGGAGTAGTGCTCGTGCCACGGGGGCTGGTATTGTTTGATGTTGTCTACAGGGTGACTCCGGCGGACCGCTGCAGGTGTCTGAGAACGGAGACTCTTACTACCGCGTGGTGGGCGTGACCTCGTTCGGCAGCGGCTGTGGCACGAGCACGCCCGGCGTCTACACGCGCGTCGCCCGCTACCTCAACTGGATAGAAGGCATCGTCTGGCCATGATAAAACATTATATAGCCCAATAAACTCATTAGAAACACTCTTTTAAAGAAAATCGAAGTTTACTTGTTTTATTTAGTTACGTGTTCGTTAAGTACAAGGTGGTGACTAAATGATGTAGACAGGGGGACTGGCTGCGATTTACGATTTCGTAAGACGTCCGGCCCAGAATTAGGGCCCTCACGCCTCCTAAATCCGGCCCTGTATCTACTGCTTCTATTTAAAAAGTACGATGGTAGTGAAAAGTAAAGTAAGCCTAGTTTAAACCGAATTTCGAGAAAATGGATTAACTACAAATTAAAGTACCTACTTTTAGAATAGAACACTTAAATAACGCAACATCACAGTAAAATAATAAGTCACAGTTTTAAGAGTCCATTTTTTGTAAAAAATATTAATTCTAAAGAAAAGTTTTCTAGAAAAAAATCCACGCGGACCAGGCAGCGGACGGGACTCGAACCCGCATCCTTCGCTATCCGGGCGAATGCACTGACCATTATGCTACCACGGCCCTATTAGCCGCGTCGAAATTTTCCTAGCCTTAAGCTGCAAGGCAGCGCCATCTCTTCGCATTGTAGGCAACCCACAATGTCAAACGAATACTTTTTCAAGTATTAAACATTTGAAAGAAGAAATAGCAATTATAGTTATGATTTTATTTATTTTTTAAGCATTTAACTGCTAGATGTTTAAATCTAAAGAAAAGTTTACTAGAAAAAAAAATCCACGCGGACCAGGCAGCGGACGGGACTCGAACCCGCATCCTTCGCTATCCGGGCGAATGCACTGACCATTATGCTACCACGGCCCTATTAGCCGCGTCGAAATTTTCCGAGCCTTAAGCTGCAATGCAGCGCCATCTCTTCGCATTGTTTTTTTTTTCTAGTAAACTTTTCTTTAGATTTAAACATCTAGCAGTTAAATGCTTAAAAAATAAATAAAATCATAACTATAATTGCTATTTCTTCTTTCAAATGTTTAATACTTGAAAAAGTATTCGTTTGACATTGTGGGTTACCAACAATGCGAAGAGATGGCGCTGCCTTGCAGCTTAAAGCTAGGAAAATTTCGACGCGGCTAATAGGGCCGTGGTAGCATAATGGTCAGGCATCAACAAACAGAAAAAAAACTGCAGTGCAGGAAATAAAAATAAAATATTTTAAGTCTGTACAACTTAATAGATATGTGAAATAATACAAGTGATATTTTATGACGAAATATTAAAATACTATTGGCCGCCCGCGACTTCACCCGCGTTAACTTTGGTTTTTGAGAATACTACATGAACCTAACATTATCCAGTATAAAAAGTATCCTATATCTCAATCCAGATCATAAACTGTATACTTAACTTTCATCCAAATCCGTTCAGTAGTTTGGACGTGATTGAGTAACATACAAATTTTCACATTTATAATACTAGTAGCGGCCGCTTGCGCCTGCGTCCGCGTCAACTTTAGTTTTTTGAGAATACTAACATATACGGGATAAAAATGTCTCTATCCAGGTCATAAAATTTAAGCGTACCAAATTTCATCCAAAATCCGTTCAGTAACAAACGTACAAACTTTCACATTTATAATATAAGTAGGAGCAGGATTTTATGACTATCACTTATAGTATCTGATGGTCTTTTTCAACCATGCCCTCCTAGCATGAGCAACGCGATATGACATATAGCTCGTTTTTATCATACTCAATTATTAAATTACTATGGAATTCGACAGTTAGGCTCGATAAAGAACGTGACATAATGGTAATTGTACCACTCAGGCATGAGCACCACGATATGGTGTACTTAGAACTCGTTTTTAACACGCTCAATTGTCAAATGAAGTTTGACAGACGCGATAAAAAACGTTATATAACGTAAATTGAGGTGCTCATGTCCCTGTAGCATGAGCACTACATTATACATTTTATCACGTTTTTTATCGTGTCAAACTGTCAAAATCCATAGTAATTTGACAATTAAGCGTGATAAAAACGTGCAATATATCATATCGCGGTGTTCATGCTAGGGAGGATGCTACGGGGAGTAGTACTCGTGCCACGGGGGCTGGTATTGTTTGATGTTGTCTACAGGGTGACTCCGGCGGACCGCTGCAGGTGTCTGAGAACGGAGACTCTTACTACCGCGTGGTGGGCGTGACCTCGTTCGGCAGCGGCTGTGGCACGAGGACGCCCGGCGTCTACACGCGCGTCGCCCGCTACCTCAACTGGATAGAAGGCATCGTCTGGCCATGATAAAACATTATATAGCCCAATAAACTCATTAGAAACACTCTTTTAAAGAAAATCGAAGTTTACTTGTTTTATTTAGTTACGTGTTCGTTAAGTACAAGGTGGTGACTAAATGATGTAGACAGGGGGACTGGCTGCGATTTACGATTTCGTAAGACGTCCGGCCCAGAATTAGGGCCCTCACGCCTCCTAAATCCGGCCCTGTATCTACTGCTTCTATTTAAAAAGTACGATGGTAGTGAAAAGTACAGTAAGCCTAGTTTAAACCGAATTTCGAGAAAATGGATTAACTACAAATTAAAGTACCTACTTTTAGAATAGAACACTTAAATAACGCAACATCACAGTAAAATAATAAGTCACAGTTTTAAGAGTCCATTTTTTGTAAAAAATATTAATTCTAAAGAAAAGTTTACTAGAAAAAAATCCACGCGGACCAGGCAGCGGACGGGACTCGAACCCGCATCCTTCGCTATCCGGGGGAATGCACTGACCATTATGCTACCACGGCCCTATTAGCCGCGTCGAAATTTTCCTAGCCTTAAGCTGCAAGGCAGCGCCATCTCTTCGCATTGTAGGCAACCCACAATGTCAAACGAATACTTTTTCAAGTATTAAACATTTGAAAGAAGAAATAGCAATTATAGTTATGATTTTATTTATTTTTTAAGCATTTAACTGCTAGATGTTTAAATCTAAAGAAAAGTTTACTAGAAAAAAAAATCCACGCGGACCAGGCAGCGGACGGGACTCGAACCCGCATCCTTCGCTATCCGGGCGAATGCACTGACCATTATGCTACCACGGCCCTATTAGCCGCGTCGAAATTTTCCGAGCCTTAAGCTGCAATGCAGCGCCATCTCTTCGCATTGTTTTTTTTTTCTAGTAAACTTTTCTTTAGATTTAAACATCTAGTAGTTAAATGCTTAAAAAATAAATAAAATCATAACTATAATTGCTATTTCTTCTTTCAAATGTTTAATACTTGAAAAAGTATTCGTTTGACATTGTGGGTTACCTACAATGCGAAGAGATGGCGCTGCCTTGCAGCTTAAGGCTAGGAAAATTTCGACGCGGCTAATAGGGCCGTGGTAGCATAATGGTCAGTGCATTCGCCCGGATAGCGAAGGATGCGGGTTCGAGTCCCGTCCGCTGCCTGGTCCGCGTGGATTTTTTTCTAGTAAACTTTTCTTTAGATTTAAACATTTAGCAGTTAAATGCTTAAAAAATAAATAAAATCATAAAAATCTTAATTTTTGAGCGCCTCGTTTACCTCGTTTTGTAAAGATTAAATACCATTAACATAGGAAATGCAGGGAAACATTAAGTTAATTATTTTAAAAGCTAGTACATACACATGAATAAGAGAATAAAACATTTCACACATATTTAACGTACATATACTCATCATAAATTCGTATATTTTTATTTTGCTTATAAAAGTATTTTAAAAACTAAAGTTGACATGGAAAAAGACCTAAAAACACAATCATTCCCAACCTTGAGCCGTAACATGATAAAAGTATTTTACGTTGAAGTGTTGTGTTTTGTAATCGGTTGGTTTACGTTAGCCATCTTTAGGCCGTATACAGAAAGAAAGCCGAAAGCCGACCGGCGCTTATCGGCGCCGATCCTTCCTACATAAAGGAAGCCGATTAAAGCAGATCAAGCAAAATGTCGGACTCATCGGACGATGATTTGGTTTTGTTAGAAAATGTTTATTTAAAAATGCGATAAACAGCTATACATCCTATAAATAGAGAAAGGAAACGTTTCGGAGAATACCATCATTTATTTGTGAAAAAAAATTAAATTTGATGAACAAAGATTTTATACATATACAAGAATGATTCAAGAAACATTTTATTACATTTTGGATTTAGTGAAAAACCGTTTGATGAAAAATTGGGGCAATTGGCATAAACAACCAATCCTTCCAGAAGAAAGACTTGTTGTCACCATTCGGTAAGTACGAAACAAATAATTTTAGCGCTTAGTTAATAAAAGATAAAGTTATTAGATTTATAAAAAGATTATAACTTAGATTGATTTAATCTAAGGATAATAATTCAAATACAAATTAGATCGGCGCCGATCGGCTTTCGGCTTTCTTTCTGTATACGGCCTTACTCTCCCGCTCAACCTGTTGACGCAAGCGTGCATATTCTATCATATTTGTTAAATCTTAGTTATTTCCTTGTTTTGTTTGTTGAGGATTGTTGTTAATTTTTTCTGTCAAGTTTAAAGTTAATCATTGACTAGTGGGTACTTTCTGACATTATAAAAGTTTTAGAACCTCAGCTTCTTTATTTACATTTTGTCTCACGCCAAAGTGAATAGACTGTAGTTTAAACCAAATTTCGAGAAAATGGATTAACTACAAATTAAAATACCTACTTCTAGAATAGAACACTTAAAAAACGCAACATCACAGTAAAATAATAAAACCATATTATAATAAAAATGCAACTTTAATGGACTCAAAATCAATGATATAAATTCTTACATACTAGTAATTAAATAATTCAAATATTTTTACGGCCACACTCTTAGATTATAAGGCCACACTGTATTACCATCGTTCTATACTTTAATAATAAAATGAGAAAGACATTTAGAAATGGGGTAAGAAGGATACCAATGAATGAAACCTATTGGAACTTTAGAAATTATAAGTACCTCCTTCACAGTCGCTGGGCCATATAAATGCTACTCTTAGATTAAAAATATATTGAATTTAATGTAACATGAGCTAAATGCCATTGATGAACATAACTTAGAAGTAACAGAGATTTAATGCAAAATCGCCAGTAGAAGAATAAACACCAAAATAAAGTGAATGAACACTTAGTCATAAAATCTTAATAGTTTCACTCGAAAAAAAAACACTTAAAAATTTAAGTCGTAATTGGCCATGTTGTTGTTTTCTTCCGACCATGCAGCAAATCGTGCACCGTCAATTTCTTTAGCAAGGGTATTACTGGACAAAAGTCTGTGATTTTGCCCCCCTATGGCTGCTTCACATTCAATACATTTACTCTCTTGCATTGCTCCGCCACATTCGCCAATGCAGTAGAAATGCCCATTCGGACATTTAAACCAGTGTCCTTGTTTAAGCCCAATCGCTTGAACTACCAAGTCACGTTCAGCTTTGGAAATTATACCACTTAATTTCACCGCCTCCTGTAATTGATTTAGAGCTAATATTGCCATATCTTCTTGGTATATTGCCAAAGAAATAACACTCGATTTCGCTTCTACAAAAGCTTTCGTTATTTTCAGCTCAGATTTTGCAGCTTTGTAAGTTGGATGGCTTATAATTTTAGACAGTTGAATCATAGAGTTCATCCGATTTAATTCACGACCTATGTCTTCTTGTTGCTGTTGACTTACTTTCTGTGTGCAGTTTTTTAGAAAAATACATAGCATCTTTATTTGCTTTAGAAAATCCTCCTTTAATTCGATTAATTTTGCAACTTCAAACTTCTTGTAATAATTTACAATCATGTCTAATATATCTATGTTAATAAAATATATGTCTATTTGCAAAACGGAGGGCTTTTTTTCTTTAGTAAATGTATGGAGTATTTTTTCATAAACTTTACGTAAATGTGAATTACCTGAAAATGATTTTTTTTCTTTAGAAAACTGAACAAATTACAAATGACCAAAGTTATACCTACATATTACGTAAATAGTGAACTGCGTACTTGTGTTTGTACATAAGAAGGTAGGTAGGGAACCTTTTATTTGTATTTAATCAATAGCGCCACCTAAACGAAGACAGATTCGGCTCGTGTTTAAATTTGGGACATAAATAATAGTAATAAATAAATACATAAACTCACACCAATTACCATAGCCCCAAAGTAAGCACTGTAAGGTTTGTGTTTTGGGGTGCAAAATAAAATGGGTAAATAACAGATATAATATATATATATATATATATCGCCGTCCCAGGAGAATAAAGAATTTACTACAAAAATGTAAGGTTTGTGTAATGGAGTGCAAAATAAAAATAAAATGGGTAAATATAACAGTTATCTATACTTATAATAAATCTGTAGAGAGGTCAATTCTGTACATGAAATATATTTTCAAAATAACTATCAGGGGGTGATTAGTGATCGATACTGATGCCAAAAATGCAATCAGTAAATTTTTTGTCTGTCAGTCTGTCTGTCTGTCTGTGTGTCTGTGTGTATGTTCCTTATAGAAACAAAAACTACTCGACGGATTTTAACGAAACTTGGTACAATTATTCTAAATACTCCTGGGCAGGTTATAGTATACTTTTCATCACGCTACAATCAATAGGAGCAGAGTAGTGAAGGGAAATGCTGGGAAAACGGGAGAAGTTACTCCATTTTTTAAGCTTCCGTCGCGTGTGCAGCCTTAATGGTTAAAGTTACATAGAAATCATGTATGACGGAAATATTCTACATAAAATTGTCTAAAAAATATCCCACAACAGCATATGTCTATCTTTTATGGTTGACTCACAATAACACGTGTAACTCCTGATAGCTTAGCAGTTCGGAGAATTCTGATTATATTTGTTTACTCTTACGTTTATAAAACTCTCACTCATCCCTAATTTAAAAAAGTTAACATTATTACCTATTCAATAAAAAAAGAATCATAGAAATCGGTATATAAACACCAAACTTATATATGAAATAAGCCATCGCGCCGTCGCACGTGAATACTGAATCATGCTATAAGGATTATTTTTGTGTAACGGTTGGAAACACTGATAAGTTTAGAGGTTTTTAATGTAAGGTCGTAAATAAACACAGTTTTTTCCGCTTACATTGCAAACGCTGGCTGAACCCTACGAGATCGATCAAAATAATGTACTACAGTATTGTATACCTTAAAAATGTCTACAAAAAAGTCCGCCATGGTATCTGTCTATCTCTTAGGGATAACCCACAATAACCATTTATATCCTATAGTTTTTACGAGAAATAATAAATTATTTACGAAGCGATTTTCAGCAATATAACCTTCTTCCTTATCCAATTAAGTACCTTAAATACATTGTGCATTTAATATAGACCAATTTGGCTATTTAACGCATGTAATTTAAATGAATATTTTCGAAGATATTACAGATTTAAAAAGCAGGGACATAGCGGTTCCGACGCTACCGGGCGGGGCGCCTGGTGGCGCGTGCCTATTGTAATTAGGTATTAGAAGAATGTCATTGTGTATAATACAAGCCTGAGAACAAAAACTATAGTCTACACTACAGCTCTACACCGAAGCGAAGCGCGGGCGGGCCACTAGTAATATATATATCGCCGCCGAATAAAAAATTAACTATAAAAATGTGTTTCAGGAAAAACCTTAAGAAAAGCTATTTTTAATACATTTGGAATGTTTTAGTGAAGATCTCGTACTATAAGTTAATAGGGAGATAACTATTTACAAAATAGAAGAATAAAAATTAATCGACATTTAATTTGTATTAAGTTGATTATCATTTTATTCGCGTTGACAAGGAGCCAAAACCAAATATTGCACCACTGACATATATTTTTATGCTATGGTTTATAAGGGTGCAAGTGAAAACAATAAGAGAGACGAACTTCTTAGCAATTCAAGGCTTTACCGTGCGGGTTGCGAGTCCATCGTGTGGGAGAGAGAGAGACACTGAGCAGTTCCCGTGACTTGCGATCCAGATGTAGGTTTAAAGAGCCTACCTAGATACCCTAGATCACGAATAAAATCGTGGTCGAAACCTGTCCCAAAAGGTACATTGGACGATCCACGAAGCTCCATAAGATGATCGCGTAGTCAAAAACAATAAAAGGCATTATTAAAACATTGAAAGTCACCTTTAATACACTGTATAAGGCCTGAATTAAAACATTTGCGTCAAAGAGTTATGACATTTCAAAATACAAGTTCTTAAAATTTTCGATTTATTGCTGTATGCGGAAGAATAAAGACCTTATTTCTTTGATTCTACGCGCAATTCGGAATGCGCTGTTAGCAATATTGCAGGTACAGACCGCGAAGAAAAGAGAGAGCTATATTACCGACAATGCATTTGAATATCACAAACATTTTCCATTAAATCAGTTTTTAGTAAATATTAGAACAAAATTTGTTTCAAATGCGTTACATTAACAAACATTTATTAGATACCTGTCGAAAAAAAGGACACTACGTACTATAAGTATTTATTTCGCATTTTTTCACGGAACACTGTGGCATCTTTACTTTTCAAAGGTCCGCGCATGACTGTGAACAAAGAAGTGCGTGAGTCGTGTTCAAGCACTTGTTGATTGGGACACAGTTTGGGCGTGGTGTATCTAGGGCATATTTAATATCGTTGTATTTACCATTATTTTATGAAAAGGCCCCAGTTGTCTATTATACGTGTAATATTAATTGTTGGTCTGGGTCATTAATATGCCGCCTAAATACGCTTTATTTGACATCGAAAATTGTAAGCATAATTTTTAGCTTAAATAATAATGCCTTAGCAAAATTTTAACAGACTTTTAGCAAATTTTATTTATTTGATTGGAAAAACTTACAGATATTCATACAAAATTTGGTTCAAAAAATTTAAGCACTATAAGCCATCAACAAGTTTCCACTTATAAATATGAAGAAATTTTAAGATTCGAAATTAAATTTTACAAAGTTGAGAAATTTTAGATTAAAAATGAAATTCAAGGATCGACCAAAAAAAACCTTGAGCCTTTACAAAAAAAATATCAGTCATCAACCGCCTGATAGCTGCAGGTTTAGAACAATTATTATTTAAAGTAACCAATAATATAAATAAATAAATATTTCGAACACTGACACCAATTAGCCTAGCCCCAAAGTAAGCACTGTAAGGCTTGTGTTATGGGATACTAGGGTAACGGATAGAATACATATATTCTACATATATAAGTATATTTATATAGAAATAAATATTAAAAATCCATGACTGGAGTACAAATGCTCGTATTCATCACACAAACATCTGCCCCCACCGGGATTTGAACCCGGGACCTCTCGAGTAGGCGACACCATGAAACCCGGCGTATAAACCACTCGGCCACGGAGGTCGTCCTATAACATAGAAAAAACATAGTAAAAAAGAATATAACAAGTAGTAATATGCTTTTTTACTTGTAAATATTTTATTTTAACAAATAAAAATATTGAAGTAATTAGCTAGTAAAATATTGTACGTTATTTTATGCCTTTACAATTCTAAATACAAAACTCTTTTGGCTCCGCAGTCGGTACGGTAACGGTGGCTTTCGGGATTTAAACTTTGCGTTTCAGTTTTAAACTGTTTTTTTACAACTATACTCGTGTCACAATGTTAGTTACCATACGCCCCCGAAACGGCTTGACCGATTTTTATGAAATTATATATGCATATTCAGTAGGTCTGAGAATCGGCTACTATCTATTTTTCATACCCCTAAGTGATAAGGGTAACCTAACAATTTTTTTGGTAATTTTTTTCTCGAATTTGGCATTAAAAATACATACAACCCTAATTTTTCACTTTTCTACCACCAGCTCCTATTTTTATGGCGGTACGAAGTTCGCTGGGTTAGCCAGTATTATATAAACATTTTATTTTAGTAATTCTTATCATGAGTAGAATCTCTGAATAGTATTGTAATAATTTATAATTCCGTGAATAACTGTATTCAAATTAACTTTAAAAAATTGAGATGTGCCTACTGTAGATGTATATGTTGAGTTGTAGTACCTACAGATAACAAAAATTATATAAAACTAACATAATGGCAGTTATCATTTTATTATCCGGGGACGGCGATATACTGATACATATATAAGTATATTTTATTTAGAAATTTTATTTAGAAATATATACTAACACTGGTACAAATGCTCGTATTCAAATCAAAAATATCAACTGATGAAACTTGCAGTTTGTGCGGCAACAGTGTTCATGCTGCAAAAAAGGCTTAAATTCGTATGTAAGTATATGTATATTGCGATTATAGAACAAACTGATTGTTGTAGGCCCTACTTTCGAAAATATAAAATACAGTACAATCCGTTTAATACGATCACGCTTAATACGATTTCTCGCATAATACGCCATTTTGCGTTTCATACACTACTTAACCCTTAATACTATTCGTCATCCCGTTTAATACTCCTAAATCGCTAACACGTATAGATCGCGCCAATCTCCTAGTCCGCTCTGAACACTGCACAATTCGCGTCGTGGCTCGTATTTAAAGGGACGAAGGTTGTGTTCTATAATCGCAATATACATATACGAAGGTTGTGTTTACACCTGCGCGAAACAACTTCAGAGCAGACTAGAAGTTTGGTACGATTAATACCACACAAGAAGAGGCCCTAAGTGATCATGCTGCCGCTATGTAACGTCTTTGAATTAAGGCGAAACGCGCTGCAAAAGTTAAATTATTTTAAAAATATTGTGATAATTTGCTAATGCCTCAAAATCGTTTTGTCAAACTAAAATAAGTGATTATTTGAAACTCATTTTTTTATAAAGAACATAATTCTTAATTATTGTACATTGAATACCTCAATACTTACATTCGAAAAAATAATAGAATGTAATAAATATTAATATGTCGTACGTTTTTCCCCCTATCCCGCATTATATGCTTTCGTGAAATCGTCTTAAACGGGTTTTTTCTGCACTTCCTTTTTTAAGTCTTTATACATCCTAGAAATACATATGTAAATTTGTGCGCAATCATAATAAATTTTACACAATGCGTGACAAAATACCTTCTAATTAATCATTGCGGTATAAAAACAATTTAATATTACCAACTTCCCGACTGAAACTCGGTTCTGATGGTGCTTATGATTCCTCAAAATCAAAATTTATAACAAATTACTAAACGTTTTAATTAATGAATCAAATAATATTATATTTATAAATAAATTAAAGCAATTACTTATCGAAAAATAATCTAAGTGAATATTTTGATGACAAAATTAGAAATAATAATTAAAAATGTTTTTGATAAATTAATAATGTACAAGTATTGATTCCATATTATAATTAGTAAAAGAGCTTTCTCTCCCCTTACTCCTTAATTGCGTGCCCGTCAGGGTCCATAATGTTCTATCTTTTTTGTGTAACACCTTTTATGTACATATGGTTCAGCAATAAATAAATGATACATGTTGCTAAGCCTTTTTTGTAGATGAACAATGTGCATATTTAAAAAAATAATTTAAGATATATTTGTTTCTTAGGTTTTCACGCACATCACTCATTAAATAAAACTAGTTTTTACGGGTTAATGCACGAAACTTTATTTATTTATTGACGTTTCGCAGCCTTTTTCGCGTCAGAATAATTATTCTGACGATGCAGACCTGAAAAGGCTGCGAAACGTCAATAAATAAATAAAGTTTCGTGCATTAACCCGTAAAAACTAGTTTTATTTAATTTAAGATACTTAATCATTTATTGAATCTATGAATGCCTCATTCAGACATAGCGTCTCCCTTACTCGCTCTACTCTTGCAATCTCGTGTCATTAGGCTCTATTAAGGCTAGGATTAACTCGAGGATAAAACGTCGTTGTTTTTAAAACTTAAAAAAACTGAACTCAAAAGTCGTTATCTGAAATGGTGAGTCAAATGAATTTAGCTATTTCGAAAAAAAGGCAAAAGTAATTTCCTGTGGGTGCGAGCGTTCACCATCTACCTATTTCTGATTAATAACTACTTTCGTATAGGAGCTATAAACTTAGATATTATGGTTTTGTTAGTTTTAGGTATGTTTAAAAATATTAATATTAAAGAAACATGACATAAGTATGTACCTACCTTCTAATGTTATTTTATGAGTCTCCAGAAAGTCAGTAAGAGCCTCTTTCAGCTTATTACTTTTCTCAATCACTTGCGCTTTGGTTCCATACACTCGTTCCTTTATTGGGTTAATCTCCATTTTGTACATTTCGTTTATCAAATCTTTATAACGGTAAGTATTAATAATTGGTTTACGGCAGAAAGGACAAGAACGGATTGCGACCGTTTCTTTATCACTTTTCATTAAGTTGTCAGCATCTTCAACTTCCATAATATGCGAGCAGTCTTGGAGCTGGATAAATCTGAAAAAATACATAGTAAAGAAATAAAGCACGTTTATGGCTTTTTTAATAAAAAGCTATGGCTAAGGCATAAGTTATTTATGTGTGACTGCTATTTTTCGTTTGCTAGAGACGTGTGTGCCTTGGTGTAATAACCTGTTTACGTTTAAACATGTTGATTTTATGGATATTATAAAATGTTTTAATTCACTTAAAAAGAAAAATACGTGTGATTTATTTGGAATGTCTATTAAGATTGTTATAAGCATTATAACAGTTATCGCTCCATATCTTGCAGATATATTCAATAATTGTATTGATCAAGGTGATTTTCCAGACCTTATGAAATATAGTAAAGTGATCCCTCTTTTCAAAAACGGCAATAGAGATGATCCCGGTAATTACAGACCTATATGAATATTACCGGTATTAAGTAAAATTTTCGAAAAAATAATTTTAGAAATGTTACATAGTAATCAATTCGGCTTTACTAGAGGTAGATCAACAACGGATTCGGGTGTTGCACTTATTAGACATATAATGGAAGCCTGGGAGAAGTCGCAGAATCTTCTTGGAGTATTCTGTGACTTGTCCAAGGCGTTTGACTGCGTTGAGCACCAGACGCTGGTGTTAAAATTAAATCACTATGAATTCAAAGGCTCAGCCCAAAACTTGCTACTCTCGTATCTCAGTTCCAGAGTTCAAACAGTAGAGGTAAATGGTGTTAAGTCATCTGGATCTTATGTGAAAATGGGCGTTTTTAAGTCCGTTTCTATTTTTATTGTACATAAATGATATTTATTTTTTTGTGGAAAAACTGTGTGAGATCGTATTGTTTGCTGATGATAACTCTTTATTATTTAAGGTTGACCGATACAAAAATAATTTTGACGATGTAAACAATGCTCCCTCACAAGTATTGCACTGGTTTTACGTAAATAACTTAAAATTTAATGCAAATAAACCCAAATGCATTAAATTGGGGCGTGTGCCGGAGACTTGGAGAGATGCTAACGTGCAACCGGTGCCCAAAAAAGGGAATCGCTCAGACCCGGCAAACTATCGGCCAATAGCAGTCACCTCAGTTTTATGTAAAGTTCTAGAAAAGGTCCTTAATAACCATCTGACCCGCTACCTAGAGGATCACTCCCTGATTAATGATCGTCAATATGGATTTAGACCGAAACGATCGACGGGTGATCTTCTAGCGTACTTAACTCATATCTGGGGTGAGGCTATCGACAAGCGTGGCGAGTCGTTGGCTATCAGCCTTGACATTGCCAAGGCGTTCGACAGGGTCTGGCACAAAAGCCTTCTCTCCAAGCTTCCGGCATACGGTCTGCCAGCCCAGTTCTGTTCTTGGGTAGCTGACTTCCTGCATGAGCGTAGAATTCGTGTCCTTACGGATGGTAGCAGTTCGCGGTTCATGTCAGTGAATGCCGGCGTTCCCCAGGGCTCCGTCCTATCCCCCACTCTCTTTCTGCTGCATATCAATGACTTGATTCCTCTTGGGAATATTCATTGCTATGCAGACGATAGTACAGTGCATGCGGGGTATCTCGGACAAGCAGCGGCTGGGCAGGCAGTAACCAGGGAGAAACGGGAAAATCTTGTCATTGAACTCAATCAAGCTTTGGACCACATTTCCGAATGGGGTACCAGGAACTTGGTTGGGTTCAATGCCAAGAAAACTCAGGCTTGCACTTTCACGGCAAAAACATCGCCATTCCTTCCCCTTCCATCTCTTCAGGGCACAACACTACCGCTGCAGAGCAACATTTCCATGCTCGGTATGGAAGTTCGCTCAGACCTGAATCCAAAGGACTACATCGAAACCGTGATCAAAACAGCTTCACGCAAACTCGGAGTCCTGAACAAGGTGCGGCGTTTTTTCACGCCCGATCAACTGTGCTTGTTGTACAAAACGCAAGTGCGGTCCTGCGTGGAATATTGCTCGCACCTCTGGGATGGCTCCGCCAAGTACTTGCTCGATGCTTTGGATAGGTTACAGCGGCGCGCAATCCGCATCATAGGCGATGAGGAGGTGACTAAACACCTTGAGCCTCTTCAATTACGCCGTGACGTGGCGTCACTAAGCGCGTTCTATCGTTTGTACCACGGCGAGTGTTCTGAGGAGTTATTCTTTCTTATCCCACCTTCCCCTTTCCTTCAGAGGACCACGCGCGCTGGCCTACGTTGTCACCGTCTTACTGTGGCCACAATTCCAACGCGTACAAAGAAATTTGGTGACTCATTTCTTTGTCGCACTATCCGTAAATGGAATGCTCTGCCCGCTCACGTGTTCCTTCCCTCTTACAACCTGGGATCCTTTAAAAGAGGCGTGAAGAAGCAACATGCAGGCCGGCAGGGTGAGGATGGCTGGTGTGGCAGGTAGAACTGCTGTATCAGCTATCTTCGCGTCTGGACTTCACCTTCACTTAACATCAGGTGGGGTGGAGTCATTTGTCGGACCTAACTATAAAAAAAAAAAATGTATGTTTAATATGTATTTCATATAAATATACTTATATATGTACAATATATGTATTCTATCCGTTACCCTAGTATCCCATAACACAAGCCTTACAGTACTTACTATGGGGCTAGGCTAATTGGTGTGAGTGTTGGAAATATTATTATTATTATATCTGCGTTTAAAACTACTTTATGTGGCACCAGGAACTGAGCACGCTACCCTGAGGTATAGATCCAGATATATTGCCAATAGGACGACTGACTTGCTTTATTTCTTGAGTTTTTTCATCTGCGTGTGTTATTTGAACGTATTGCTTTCTATATTCTAAACAAGAAGAAAGCCACTTTTGTGCTTACTTTGGGGCTAGGCTAATTGGTGTGTGTTGGAAAAAAAAATCATTTATAATTGTATACTTTTTGTTCGAAGCAATATATCTATAAAATAAAAAAATAATATAAACTATTATCTCAAACACAGTGACATACATTCTTTTAATACAAGGAATAAAAATAAACTTAAGATACCAACTTACAGGTTACAGAAGGTTCATAAATCATTTATGGGTCAAGGTGTACATCTCTATAATAAGATTCCTAATGATATTCTTGATTTGCCTCTTCATAAATTTTAAATACATATTAAGAATTGCTTACTTAAGAAAGGATATTATACTGTAAATCAATATCTGAATGATAAAACGGCCTGGTTGTAATGTGCGAGTGCGAGTTGGTAACTGCCAGCTAATGCTACAGCCCGGCGTGCCGCACAATAGGGTAGGCTCATACTAGCATCAAATAAAATATGATCCGACTCAACTACATAAGCATCTATCGCACGCACACGTCTGATATAAACATTCAATCGAGAGAGCGAGACAGAACTGTACGCTTCAATGCAGCGCGAGCGAAACGGCGAGTTCGCTTCCAAGTCCGTACGGCTGAGCTGTAATTTTGTCCTTTTCTTGATAACAAAATGGCGATTACGTAAATAACATTCACGACAAACCGTGATTTTTGAGTAAAATATATTTTTACAGTTTTACGAACGAAAAGTGTTACCGAGGCATATGTTATTTGATTTTGAACTATTTGTGTTCTTATAAAAGTATCGATGGCATTGTTTTATCTTAATATACGCAATATTGTTATATTGAATGTCCAATTGTGACTAAGGCGAATTATGGCCATGCCATGCACCACAATTTAAGCGGATCACTTTTGAGCAGCGAGTGCCGTATCTTCCCTTTTTGTTTTAATCTAAGTTATCGCACTATATAACGTATAATTAATAAGATGGGCTTGCTCACTTGGCATCGTCGTCGAAGTCGTACCCGAGGAAGTCTTTGGGGAAGGTGTCGGGACGGCACTGGTGGCAGATGTCGGGGCAGGGCTCGCCGCACAGCCCGCGACAGGGGTGGCCGCAGGGCAGCGGGCGCGCGCACGCCGCGTCGCACGCTGCCACCGAGCACGGCTCCCCGCACCGCCTCGAGCACGCGCCGTGCGCGCACGACTGGTTGCAATCCTCCTGCATTTACACGGGGGCGTCAATCGCCTAATCAGTTGCTATGGCTATCGCTATCATTTACGATTTCATTTTGTTATTTCTGACCGCCAATGGCTTCAAATGCCTCAGGCTCTTTTATTTTCTTTAGCATTGGTAATAACAATATTAAGTTTAGTTGCATTATACTATTTGCATCTAGAATAAGTAAAATCAAATCAAAATATAGGCTTAGTAACGAATGCTTCTGCCGTCCCTCGCAGGCCTTGCAGAACCCCAAAAGCATCCATTTAGCTCACCACGGAGCACCTCCAGTAAGATGCAGCCAAGGAAAGAATGCGATCCTGATAGAACGTGTCAGTTCATAAGTTCACAGAATTTAGTGTGTCACACGCAGACAGGCCGGGTTTGCAACCAGTTATATTCACTTGTAATGTAAGCGAGTGTTCAAACCAACGATATTAAATACCCTAGATGCACCACGAGCGCTTAAAATGTGTCCAATTAACAACTGCTTGAACTCTACTAATCCAAATCAGCCCTTAAATGGGCGACAACAATAAAATATATATAATTAGGAACCTCCTCCTTTTTAAGTCGGTTAATAATAAAGTATCAGGGAAAGTAAATTTAACTAAAATCATCATGCAAATGGCACTAAATTAGATATTTGAATTACAGTAAAAAATATTAAAATAATACGTATCGGTGGTATGTTTGCCTTGGATACAATATGGTTTGTGGCTAACGTTTTTGAACTGAGGTATAGAAAAATTAGGCTTATTTCTATTTTTGTCGCTATTCGTTCGTGTTCGTGTTTTTATTATTTTAATTATTTGGCTAGCATTGAGCGGCTCAATTTGAGTTTCAATCATCATCTTATCTGACACCTATTATCATTTAGTTAATACTTATGCTCACAACACGCTATTTCTGCTGTAGGCTGCTTGGGAGTTCCATGTTCTGTGAACTACTTCATGTTGCAGCATCAGCTCAAAGTCAAGGTTGCTATGTCTAGTACATGTCACCAAAGTAACAGTACTTACCTACAGTGCAGATACTTCGGTGGTGTAATTCCACTGGTATTAAAGTGAATTAGAATATAATTAGACCCATAAAGTTGTCCTATTGTTATGTAGAAATTGAACTGATAGGTTGAACAGATCTTCATAAATTGTTAATAACATCCCAATCAGATCAGCTTCCAAACAACAAAAACCCCATCTAAATAGGCATATTTGTTTGAATGCTCAGAAAGAAACAAAGATACACTAAGTTTAACTAGTGTATTTATATATAACACCCCATATTTTTTCTAAAACCTAATATGAAATAAAATAAAATAGTTTACCTGACAGGGCACGCACGGTGCACCGCAAATTTTATTGCAACGTGAATGAGCACATTTCACTTCGCAGGGCTTTTTGCACGGTGGACACAACTGATTACAAGGTTCTTCGCATCTGTAAATTAATCGTAAAATAGTTATTTATTATACAAGAGTGGAAAGTTCCTTTTTAACCGCGTGCTCGATTTGGATGACCGAGCAAGCGAAGGATTCTAAAGTTGAATCACGAGCGCAGCGAGTGATTCTAAATTAGAATCCTGAGCGTCAGCGAGGGAAACAAACGAGCACAAGGTGAAAAATCTTTCCACTCGAGTGCAATACGTAACTTTTCATCCCACCTCAGCGAGGAAATGACAAAATGAAAAAGAAAACAATTTATAATGACAAAATATTTTTATTTCAATTAAAACACATTAAGATAATCTATAAATTGAAGAAAATAATAAGAAGTAGAAAATAATTAAGAAATATTAAATGTAACGTTGCTACAGTTACTTATGTTAAGTTTAATATTTTTGTTAGGTAATGTTATGTTGGTGTTTGTGAATTGTGCGCTGTTTTGTGGTAAACTACTCGTATCAGTAATTTTAAATAGTTGTGCCGATTCATTGGATTCTATTGGCGTAAATGTTGGCGAGAGAGGGCTATTGTTTCCAATCTTATGGGGGCTCATTTTAGATGTAGAAGGGCGAGACCAAGAATCTGACAGAGGTTCTTTCAGCGTTATGGCCTCCACGATACTATTACAAATTTTTGATTTACTTTGGATTGAATCCTCTATGTATCCCTCTACAACCGAATTAGACTTCCAGCCTCCATGGCGCTTAAGCGATAGAAGATCAGCCCCTGATTCGGCCAAAAGTGTGGCTGAGGTTCTTCTAAAACAGTGACCGGTGTATAACGGGGGTTCTAAAAGTCCGAGAAAAGTTGCTATTTCTCGTGGAATACTGCCAATTTTATTCTGACCCATAGGTTGTCGGATACACTTTCCGTTGCGATATTGTAGAAAAAATCGTTCAATTGGGGTGTTAGAAGGACGTAAAGCTTGATATTTCTGAACAATGTTTACATATTCCTTGCGAATAACGAAGTTGCGGTCTTTTTTTGTCTTGGTATTTAGTACATTAATTAATAGCAATTCATCAGAATTATGAGAATATTTTGATACGTTATTGACATTAAGTAGTGTAAGTTCATTTGTTCGACATGCTCCGGTTATACCAATAATAAGAACAACCTGTAACAAAAGAAGTATTTATAATCGTAAATAAATTAATCAAATTAAAAATATTGTAAGTACTATGTACAATTTTATCAACAACAAAAAATTACACGTATTGACTTACTTTTGCCGCTAAATATACGGAATCAGGTGCTTCATTAATAAACTTTGCAATTTCAGATGCTGTGAAAACCTTCGATTTTTTTGGTTTATAACCAGATGAGGCTCTTTTTAAAAATGCCACTAATTTATGATAGGTGTCGATATGAACGTCTTTCTTCATCTTAATTGTTAATTTTAGCATTGAATACGTACTCCATAGCGTGCTTGCTTTCTTGGTCTCAGATAATTCTATAAAATATGCCAGCAAAACGTTTTCGGAGAAAGTTTTTGCTCCTTTAGCTAGTCGCCACATGTTAAATATATCGTACTGTTTCAAATACTTCTCTCGTGATTGCTGAGGGAGAAGGCTCATTTGCGCATTATTAACTGTTTCAGTTAACTCAGTTGGCGTTAGATAAACTTCATCGTCGCTAATGTCACTCATTTTAGTTGATTTTTTTGTACAGTTTTTAGGTTATGTTAATTATATTAAGCAATAAAACGTGAAAAACTAGAATGGCGCGAAGCACGCAAATAAAACAAAGAAACCAAGAAGGTTCCAAATTTAAATTTTTTCACAATTTAAAAAGTTCTAATCATAAATTTGGCACCATAGAGGTTACATTAAATAGGTTTAATGACGTTTTGAATTTACAATTATATTGAGTACTCATTATATGTGATGTTCTAAATTCAAATCTACTTTGCCGCTCAAGCGAATAAAATAGAATTTTCCAGCCAGATTTCGAAGCGCAAAATTACACTTTCCGAGGTGGTGGGATGAAAAATATATTACACACTTATTAGTCTGAAATTTTATGTAATTTGTAATGGGCACGCTTAAGGGAATGCACACATCTTTTTTATTACAAGTAAAATAATTTTACAACTTACTGATGTCCACAAATCATTGTGACGTGACAAGGCTGTGTGCAAGGCGCATGCAGCCGGCCCTGTAGGCACAACGAACACGTGCCACGACAAAAATGGTTGCATTTCAGAGTCATGTTACACGGCTCATTGCAATAATTCATAAAGGCCTCCTGATCTATGGAACCTAAAACGAACAAAAGTAAGGTTAATTTTGCTACCGATTCAAATCTTCGAATCAGAGACCCAAGTAAGAGTTTTTGACAGCTCCGTAGCGTCAAAGTTTCTATGAAAACTAAGCAGCGCCCCTAGCGTATAAACAAACAAACTAGCTTTTGCTATATAAAATTTGACGATTTTGATACTTTACGAAGCTGTCAAAAACTCGTGCTTGGGCCTCAGATGGTTTCGCTTTTGGGGAATGCATTGACAGCGTGACCGCTATGCGGCTGAGACTTTAATGTAGGTACAATGTAATACGTGCGGAATTCCTGTTAGTATCCTTATTTAGGCTGCAAATCCGCGCCAGTTCATCATATTGCAGGCAACTTTGTGGGGTTCTCCCACAATCTCATTTATACATATTATATAAGTATTTAGAAACATATCAAATATTAAATAATATGTATTTACAATTTATAACTACAAATAAATATTAACATTAAATATAAAAACCAAATATATTTACATTTATATAAAATAACAATTATTATTTACACAATATTTACATTTAATATATAACAATATTTATTAATTACATTCATATACATTCATCACACGCACATACATTTATTCACAAACAATATCACTATCGTGCCGTGCATCAGTTGATCTACGAAAGTCGTATGGCGAATGGACACGCGCACTCGCTTCACCGCCTATTGTTTGGCAAACCGGCCGGCTCACGCGCAGAGGTCACGTTGCACGACAGTCGGAACCTATACTCTGTACCGTACGCACGATCAATTGCTCCGCACTTGCTAACTCATAACCGTATTATTGTTATTGTTTACGTTTGTTTTGACTGTGCTTTTCCTTTCTTCCTCTGTGCTTGTTTATCACTGACTGTGCTCTGTACTCCTTCTATTCTGTGCTTGTGCAAATAAACTGTTTATCGTTGAGTGCTGGACTTACTGTTTTACACCGACTTTCACCCAACAACGCTTTAACTTCATACATTCGCCTGGTTCAAATCCAGCCTGATAGCCTGAACTGAATGGATTGTTTTCTAGTATTTTATTTTAACAAAAATATAATTCAAAATATAAAAAGTATTTTTATTTACATTTTGCCCCATTGTCCCTACCTTACTCGGAAAAACTACGACACCAACCACCAAAAAAAATATTTGTCACTCATATCCAATACCAATTTCAGCAAACTGTTTGAATTAGCTTGTTTGATCAAATTACTTGAATGTCTATGGTCGCCATAAATTGATTCGGCTTTAGTGTTGTTTTCGATTATCTGAGCTCTATGCTCAGAAAATCGAAATGTGTGCTGCGGCTGGGACACGTAGTAAAAGTTTGTGGTAGATGTGAAATACAACGGACAAGCCACTGTCGTTTCCCCCTTCACGGGGCCGTAAAGCTTACCTCACTTTATTGTTTGTGTTTTTGTTTCAACGTGGAAGAAAAATGAATGATTTTTATGCAATCCAATTATAGCTACTCTTAATCAAATGATGCAATGAGTATCTGGCAGCAGATACTGCAGGAGCGGCATGCCACAGAATTCCAAAGGACGCTCGACCGATAGAAAAATCTCTTACCATGCTTACCATGCCGTGCCTGTCTTAGCACTTGAGTACTTTAGACACAATTGATTTACCTTGCATTAACTGTGAAAATACTTTGCAAGGCAGCTTGACTTTGTGGCCGCACGGTGAATCAAACTGCCTGTTCACTATTTCCATGCAGGTCTTTTCGTCGCACTGTAAACCGCAAATATTGCGACATTTGTGACCACAGGCCATCATTCGCTCGCATTGCGCCTTGCACATTTCACGCTTTGGTTCTATTTTACATAATACTTCTATTGTGTGATTACAATCTGGTATTATTGTTTTGACCTGTAAATAATAAATGTTACATACAAATAGAAATATAAATGTTTTTATTATTTTATGGTCACGTGAGCAAAAACGCATGGGATTGGCGAAGAGTAAAATGACGTTACACGCTAGTAAACTTCCAGTTAAAGTCACATGCTAGTGAGACGTCATAATATCCAGGGTAACATTTTCGCGGCAACTTGAAAATAAATTATTGGTTTAGTTTTTATACTGAAATTCACAACAGACTGATGAATATCCATCCATTTGAGGACTTCATAAACATAAGTAAATATCGTGAGATCATTTTCTAAATCTTGTCAAATAGCCTATTATGGCCAGTTCCAACCTAACTATTACAGTATAAGAGACTAGGCTGCAACTTTCTTTCAAGGTGGAGAAAACTAACCGTAGGCTGGGTGCCTCTTCAATCCAAAATAATTCACTGCCCTCTCTGTTGCTGAATGGTTGAAAATACAAATAAAAATATTGCTGCCCACATTGCTCTCTAATTAATTTACCTACATGAAAGCTTTGCAAACAAAATCTTATGCTTATCTAAATAATCAGTTCCTTTGCTATGATAATTCCCACTATGTACTCACTTATCACTGTACACAATCACCATGCAAAGATATATTTTAAACTATCTTCTGTAATCTCGTCATAATTTGAAATTATGTACCTTTGCACCTGCTACACAGTTGCAAATTATGCGGACGAATTACTACACACTTACGAGTAAAACAAGACTACACATGATTATGGATCGGACGTCACTTAGTACGTTAGTGCGATCTTTGTTCCATCCATCCAGGGCAAGAATATATTTTTTTGATCAGTGAATACGTAATATACTATATTATTATGTATTTTTATATATTATTATGTATTTTTACAAATGAAACGGAGATTCTACCTACAACTGAATATGTTAGTAGATAAAGTATCTGTATATACTTTAGATAGGTATCTTTTTAGTTGCGGTTTTTCCTCAAAGAAAACTTAACGAATTAAAATTTATGTTAATTCATTTTGTTGTAAAAACCATTCAAAGACATAAGGTAATGCAGTCCAATCTGACCATTATTCTTCTAACTTGAAGATTTTTTATATGGAATTATGTATATTGATTATAATCAGACAGAGCGAGTGCAGATGGTTAGCGCAATCGGCCTGCGATCGTGAGAGTTAAGCAACTTTCTCGATAGTCGGGCATTGGATGGGTGATTGAAAACTTCTTATCTCGAGCTCCTCCGTGCACGTTAAGACGTTGGTCCTGGCTGCATCTGCAGTCGTTAGCAACCACCAATCGGCATTGGGCTCATGTGGTGGGTCACGGCTCAGTCTCCCTATTCCATCCATACAGAAGGCCTATTACCTGCATTAGGGACATTAATGGGCTGATGACGTTGATATAATGAAGTGTTACTCTATGTAAAGTTAAAGTAGATTCAGCTAATAAAATTAATTAAAATTCAAAGCGTTTTAAATTATGAATGTCACCTTTTGGTTGCAATCGCCACAGGGTTCGTAGCACTTTTTCTTGCAGAAGTGATTGCATCCAGGCAATGTCCTGGCACAGTTTTTGCGGCAGGGCTTTTCGTTGACGTCTTTGCAACATTCAATTCGTTCTGAATGCTTGCAGTTTGATCTCTTTTTCATTACCTGAAAGTGAAGTAAGAGAATATTGTAGAAGATATATGTATCAACAAATAAAGGCATAATCTATCTTCTTGTCAGACAAATAAAACGCAGAAAAAAGGAAAACTTATAAAAATTTAAAATGTTACGCTACCGCAGGACGAAAAGGTCACCGATCAGCAAAACGCTGATTTTCAACGAATAGCAAAGTTTAATAATGTAAATTACAAATTGTAAAATTGGCTGAACTCGTTAGGTACCTAGCTTTACGTTATGGCGTATTACAAGACAACAATAAGAATATTATGGTGTACCGATAAATAAAGTAATTATATTAGTTTTTACGTTTTATTGGGTTTAAATGGTAGATTTGAACCAGGCTACGCTATGTTAATCATAATACGCTGACTGTTGATATGCGTTTATAATCCATCTGTACTGAGAAAGTTAGCAGCTGGAAAAATAAAAGAACACAGAAAGGAGGTTTTTGTATTCTGTAGGTATAATGAATTAAAGAAAACTGGTAACTTCACGCTATTCCTACAATGATTGCCTGGTAAAGTTACCATAAACGAGTATAAATACAATACATATTTCCTATCCACACTTTTAACTACGCCACATTATGCATAATAAAAATGCACCACAAAATAAACAAATTTCGGACAACGTCTTTAAAATCAGACCCCATGTCAATGGGTGTGACGTTGTCCAAAATTTGTTAAGATTGTAATTATTATAAGTAAAATAAAAAGGTGTTGAGATTTGTTAGTGTACATAAACACAATCCAACTTTTCCGAATTATCTGATAGTTCCAGGTGTACATATAACCAGAAAAATCTTTCACAGAAATCTTACCCTCATAATAGCAAAGCATAAAAAACAAACAGCCAAGTAGATTAAGTATTTTAAGAAGATGATAGAAATACATGAAGCATTTCATTTTTACATGATAAAAAAAATACTCAACATCAGTTCACCAAAGTTTTAAGACACCCCAAATAGTAATACAATACTCATGTTGGGGCTGACTCGCTCTTCCCAAAGTAACAGATTAAAATATTTTATTTACTGTGTTTTATTTTATGTTCCAATAACAAAATTATATAAAGCTATGAATTTAGGTACAGTAAGTATATAGTTAAACTCCTGGCAATGTGTAGTGAAAAAAAGAAGGTCTAAAGAAAACTTACTTCGACGTTGCAGTCATCACAGGTCTCGTGGCATTTCCTAGAGCACTGGTGATCTCCGCGCTCGCTGCTCAGGTTGGCTGTGCAGCCATTCTTTGCTTTAGCGCATGGTTTTAGACATAAATACTGAATGGAAAACATGATATTAGTATAGCAGCAAGTTCCTATAATACACACAGTTAAATTATGTCACCATTAAGAGAAAATTCACATAAAATTTACAGTAAATCAAAAGATACCCTTGCTGAAAGATAAACCTGCGGTTGCAACAATTAAATTGATCTGTTTCAACAATTCTTTACCATTGTTACAGTTCGGTGCTTTATATCAACGGAACTAATAATAGGACTGTGGACACATAGAAGTTAGTAATAGTACACCGTTCACTGAGAGGAGAAACATACTCTAAGGGAGAAAGTGACCGATTACTTTTCATTCGAGAGATACATAGTGCTTTATACTATACCTACCTACAAAAAACTAATTCTTGATTCTAAATAATTATTTTGATTGCACTGAATTAGCACTGACCATGCTACCCTGATGGCTGTGTCGACTTTTCTCAAGTATTTCTTAGGCTGCAAGGCAGCGCCATCTCTTCGCATTGTAGGTTAACCACAATGTCAAATGAATACCTTTACAAATACTTAGTTTCTCAATGCTGCTTGGGTATTTTCTTTTAATTTTTTGCAATTGTCAATAAATCTTCACTATCAATAATAATGGCGCAATTAAAATTAGTCGATAGCCCGAATACGGTTGCTAATTAAATTCGCACAAACGACTAAGTAAATGAACGGAGTCGAGTATGCCTGTATTCGTTTTGGTTCCCCCAAATCTGGCATCACCAGGTTTGTTCCAAATAGTACGCGGGTGCAGGTTCGTTTGCCCGTGTTCCAGTACCCGAAAGTATTGTTATTATTGCTTCATGTACCCGCAATCGAGTAATGTCTTTCATACACCCGAATACGGGCTAACGTCCAAATGAAATTGCGCTCTGTCTCGAATAGTAAAAAAATCAAATTAAAAACACCGATAAAATAAAACAAACCACGCGCTTATACTTCTTAATTTTTTTCAAAATTAATGTTCAGAAAGCAAAATAGAATAATATTAAAAAAAAACATCTGCAAAATGACACCTACCACTAGCTTTTTCGGAACATTAATCAAAAAGATTATATAAAACAGCAATGAATTAACAAACACTATTCCCACCCGCTCCACTGTCATGAGGTCCTGTCTACTTCATTAAAAACAAGAATAAAGCACTTTCTAAAGTTTCTGAGTTGTTAAAGAATAGTATAGTTAATACTAGACTTGCAACGAATATTCGGTTACTACTCGGCCTATTCGGCTGCATTTATTACATTCGGCCGAATACCGAATACTTAAAAAATATATTTTGTCATAGACAAATAATTGGTAAAATTAAAAATTAAAATCGATTGATTACGTATATATTCATATTTTCATTTCTGTTATATAAGGGGCCATCCATAAATTACGTCACACTTTAAGGGGTAGGGACGGGGTCGACGAAATGTGACATCGTGTGACAAGGGGTGGGAGGGGTCCTAAATTTCGTGACGTCACATTTCAAAATATATTAAAATCTAAGTGTTGAAACTATTACTTTACGAAAGCATTAACAACCCCAACGAGAACAAAGTGGTGCTATGCCAGTTATAAATAATTTAAAGGAGTGGGATCAATGTCCATGGACTCAAGATTATTAAGTTTGTATCTTTAATTTAATTATAATGCTATTAATATTTTTTGTTTTGTTAATTTCTTTAATTAACATAGTCAATCACTTTTTGTTCGGTAATTTCTTTAATAAATATAATTAATCGTTTTTTTTTGTTTTGTTAATTGGGTCGATCAACTTTTTATTGCTACATTGCCCAAAATAGTGTTTTTTTATTTTTTTCGTAAAGAGTTACTTTTTTAAATTTCATATAATAGATGATTTAATAATTTTTATGGTCCGGTAACGGGCAATGACGTTTTCTTAAATTACAAAAATTTAGAGGAAATATATCCATCAACCTCAGCAAAATCCGTCCCTTGGACCACTAACAATATAGATTTTTTAAATAACTCAACTAACAATAATAATTAAAGAAAATCCATTTTTTTATTATATTGTAACATTGTCTCTACATTTTAATATTCATTTAAATAAAATAACGTATAATTTATTTAATATTCGACTACTAATGATCCGTTGTCCAGGGGATCTTTTTTGCGTAATGAAACTTTCCTATAAAACTGAAAATAATGGTAATAAATGCAACATTATACCACGGACCGTTTAGTTTAATTTGTACTTTCTATCCTTCTAATAAACATAAATAATTTTATAATTTAAAGCCAAAAAATCAAATAAGAACTGATTTTCAATGTGGGGACAACTTGGTTGCCCAATGGACATTAACAGTTGTCCAAAGGAAATACTTCGACTTAAAAAGCATATTTTAGTGTTTTATTTTTAAATAATAAAAAAAATATAAATAAAGGTAAAAAAAATATTCAAATTCTTATGGTCTTACGACGTAGAACGGTCTTTATTTTGTTAAATTGAAATAAGAACTTTTTATTCCTGGATTTTCAGACTTAAAAGCTTTAAAAAGATTTTTCATAGACTCCAAAAGAAACCGTTTTTGCATCTTCATTTTGCCTTTAGTGACAGTTTCTTTTTTACCAGCGGTATTCCTTTTTTTGAGAGTTCTGTATGTCCATGGCGCGTTGTTGTTTTTGCCCTGACTTGATATTTTAAATCTAAGCTCTCTTTCATGATTTTATTTTTTTGCGCTGTATCCATGTTATCAAACATATTCTTTCACTCAGTTTTCGCTCATCTGTCTTTAGTTTTCTTTTAGTTTTCTTTGATAGCATTAGTCAATATATTATATTTATAGACTACCTCGCAATCTACCTTAGGATTATTCTCTTTAGGTTTTAAATTCTCTTTCACCTGAACTAATTCTTTCTTCTTACGATTAGCTCTCTTTTTAAATTTTTCGTATTTTTTCTTCCACATCTTTGCTTCAATTCGTAGTTTCAAATTTTCTCTTTACAATTAGATCTATCTCTGCGTTTTTTTTCTTCCTCTTTCTTTACATTCAGGATCCAACGTAACAGCAGGAGAAGGAGGCGGTGTGACTGCTTGTTGTTCTTGCGGTATATCAAATTCCTCCAATTTTTTTGGGTTTTCCTACCTTTCCTCCAAAATATTCGGAAAACTTGCGGGTGTATTGAAAAATACATCTCGTACTACTTGCATTCATTTCCTCTGCTCCTGTTTACGCAATTTCCAAATAATTCTGCATTCTTTTGCTCCTCAGGCTGCATACTTGAAATTAACTTTTTGTGTTTATGATAGCTTTCTCAGTTCTTTCTCTTCCTTTCAGCTAATTTTTATAGGCACGCTTTAAGCCTCTCTCTGTATCGTCACGACTTTTCTTTCTCCGAAAATCCCATTTTCAAAAAAAAATTCAGCACTTGGCATTCAAGACCACACCGAGGCATCTAGTCCCAAACTAAGCCGAAGCTTGTACTATACTATGGGTACTAAACATCTGATGAACTCAGATACATGTTCATTAACACAAAAGTTACTGTGCGGGATTCAAACCCACTGCCCTCTTGGTGTAGAAGCAATAGTCACAACCAATGCACGAATAAATATTTAATTTATAGATGTTTATCATCAAAATAATATTATTTGTCCTAAGGACAACCAAAATGTCCTACGGACCACCAATTTCGTTGTCCAAGTGACTGGTTGTCCGTAAGACGTTTTATAAACTTTTGGCTTCCTATTAAATAATAACGTTTTATTGCCTCTTTCCTTACTCACACAGTAAAATCTAGCTGACACAACATCTAGTACAATATAGTTAATTGTTAAATATTGAGTACTTATGGAATTCTGACGGTTGTCCGCTGGAACGACAATAAGAACACGCACTTTCACTTACGGAACTCGCCCGACTGACGCCACGCCTTTGTTGAAATAAAAATGGCGGTAGGACGCGACATCTTCTTAGAGAGACGGCCTTGTTGCTAACGTACTCAGCCGCCATCTATGTTTTTTTCGCATACTAAATTAGCGGTGGTCCAGGTGACGTTAGCTAAGCAAACATTTTTGGGGACACAAGTAAAATAAAATAGTTTGGTAATTTTTATTAACCTTAATAAATACCAATATGTTTTATTAACAGAGTACATACTTGAAAGTGATTTTTTTCAATTACTGAGAATTGTTTCATAGAGTTTTTTTTCGTAATGGAAATAGTTTTGATGACCTGTTTCCGGAGGACATTCCGTGATATCACGAAATGATCGATTTGTCTTTAGGACAACCATAAGAGATTGTTTAGTTTGAACCAAAACTCAATATTTCTTTGATTATATGTTTGTAAATGTTTCTAGGAATATATAAATTATGATTTTAGCGTATATTTTTTGGTAGATTTTGTATTATGCTTATGGGACAGGAAAAGGGTAACATCGAGCAAGGAATAGTTGATTGACCCAATTGTTTGATTTGATTATAATAATAATGAAAAAACAATTTAAATGGAAATAAAACTGATTACAGAACCGTTGTTTTCATTCAATGATTTCTAAATGTAAATTTGCAAAATATGTGACGTCACACTAGGGAGGGGGGGAGTCTTACAAATGTGACCAGCTGTGACAAGGACGGGGGGAGGCGCAAAAAAGACATGAAATTCGTGTGACGTAATTTATGGATGACCCCTAATCATTTAAGTAGTCATTACATAACACAGGTACATAATCATCTTCTGAATTGGAAAAATGGAGGATTCTATGTATTTGAATTATTGTGGTATTCAAAATTTAGAAGGGTAAGGTTCTCATTTCTTTTATATAATCATTTAATAAGTAGTCATTGGTACATAATTTAATCATTTTCTGTATTAAACAAGTTAACAGTTTTTAATTCATTCAGTCGTCAAAAGTTGGTTTTGTCATTTAGCCGCATTTTCAGCTTGAGGACGGCAAATTAGAACAAAAGAAAGGAGCGCGAAACAAGTCTGTACAAGTTTTTGGCGCTAAAATCCAGCCGAATACTTTTGCCTAATATTCGGCTATTCGGTCAGGGGCCTCGCCGAATACTCGGTATTCGGTATACTGCCGAATATACTATTCGTTGCAAGTCTAGTTAATACTACTTTAAAGTACTTCGCTCATGCTTTAAAATAATGTTGCTCCCGAGGTGGATATTCTACTTTTTATCACCCTCTATGAGAAAATATGATAATGCAACTAACACTTATGGCGTTTGATAAAATGTTCTCGCGATTTAATGTACTTAATACATTTATTCTCACTACTTGAGGATGACACACTCATTTTTTATAAAACCACGCAACACATGCCTTTTTTATTTTTCACGCACTTGTTTCTGATTTTAAGACCGTCCTATACAGCCTGTAACTTGTCATAAGATGTTTGTGATTAATCTCTCTGGTGATTGTAATTTCACTAACAATATTCACATTCCTAATACAAATCACTTTCAAGTCCTTAATAGAAATTAAAACGCTATTTTGGTTCCTGTAAACAGAAAACAAACTACCCTTTTTGAATAGATGTGGCAAAAAAGTTGTTCCAGCAGAATAGAGAATAACAGATGCAATCGTTAAAACCCACCAATCCGTACCATTATCAATCCAGATTGCGGCTTGTTCGCCTATATGCTTCTGCTACTTAACCTAGGGAGGGCCTGTGCGCCTACAGGAGAAAAAAAACTAGTAAAGAAACTAAGGGTATTGATGATATGTTTTTAACACACCTTCTCATGGTCGGGATCGTCGTTGACATGACATCGACGCCGGCATTGGTGGCCGCAACCCTCCACGCGGAAAACACAGGGCACCATGCAAATGACTGTCTCTATATTCTGATGACACGGCTTTTTCGTCTGCAATCAAATTCAAATGCATTTTCTAGCAAATAAGTGAAGCACTTCAGCGAAATTCCTAGATGGACAGGCCTAAATAGACCTCTGTGAAGTTAGCCCCCCACTTTTTGAATTTTATTATTATCTAGGTTGTTCTGGGTTGTTCTATGTTTGTTCTACATTGTTCCAAAGTATTATTTGAAAAAACTAAAATTTGAAGCTGCCAGATAAGAAAAACCGTTTTTCTATGGTAGCACCCCATGTTTGGAAATTCAATATTTTTTTAGTTGTTCCAAGTTGTTCTAGTTGTTCCGAACATTGTTCCAAAGTATTATTTGAAAAAACTCAATTTGAAGCTGCCAGACAAAAAAAACTTTTTTATGGTAGCCCCCCATGTTAGGAAATTCAATATTTTTTTAGTTGTTCCAAGTTATTCTAGTTGTTCCTAACATTGTTCCAAAGTATTATTTGAAAACATTCAAATTTAAAGCTGCCAGACAAAAAAAAACTTTTTTATGGTAGCCCACCATGTTTTGAAATTCAATACTTTTTTAGTTGTAACAAGTTGTTCTAGTTGTTCCTAAGATTGATCCAAAGTATTATTTAAAAAAACTCAAATTTGAAGCTGTCAGACAAAAAAAAACCGTTTTTCAGATAGCCCGCCAAATCAAATCGTACTAAAGACAATAAATAAATCAACAATAATTTTAAACAATGACGATTGTATCAGTACAACAGTGGGCTACATCGTTCCAATTTCATTTAATCATTTTGAATAAAATTAATAGTTATAAGACGAGAAAACATTGCACTATGGGTTAAACTCCACAATTGTTGGCACTTTAAGAGTAGATTCCATGTCAGTCAGACATTAAATTACCATAAAATCACATCTAAATGAGTTAGTACACAACACATGTAACAGTATCAAGGAAATATAGTTTAATCTTTGTTTTCATAATGGTACAGTCAATGAAGGCAAAAATAACCTTCGATTCCGATGAACCTCCATCGATTTTCATGAAAAATTATGATGAGGTGGGGGATACCATATGAAACAAAAGTGACATTGTGCCAACTTGCGCTTTTGCCCTAGGGGTAGATACCACCCCTTCTCGGGGGTAAAAATTATTTTAATAAAAATAACTCCAGGAATCGACAGAAAGACAAATTGTAAGCAAAAGTTGTTAAGTTTTCGAAATAAATCAATACTTTCTGAGTTAATAATGATCAAAGATTGTGATTTTGCGTCAAAAAAATTCATGTTTTAAGCGGTTTTTCATAAATATCTCAAAAACTATGAGTTTAAAGAAAAATATATTATAACTAGACGCAACGAATATTCGGTTACTATTCGGTATTCGGCCTATTCGGCTGCTTTTATTATATTCGGCCGAATACCGAATACCTACATATTATTCGGCCGAATACCGAATACTTAAATAATATATTTTGTCATAGAGAAATAACTGGTAAAATGAAAAATTAATATCGATTGATTACGTAGGTATATATTCATATTTTCATTTCTGTTATATATAATCATTAAAGTAGTCATTGGTACATAACACAGGTACATAATCATCTTCTGAATTGGTAAAATGAAGGATTCTATGTATTTGAATTATTGTGGTAATCAAAATTTAAAAGGGTAAGGTTCTCATTTCTTTTATAATCATTTATTAAGTAGTCATTGATACATAAAACAGGTACATAATTTAATCAGTTTCTGTATTAAACAAGTTAAGAATTTTTCTATGCATTTGAATTATTTTCATAATCAAAATTTAGAAGGAGAAGGTTATGGTGCAGAAAGACTTATTTTTTTTTTTTCATTTTTAGGAAGTAGTAGAACTTCTTTTTTTCTCGTAGACCATCCCAGATTCAGAGAAAAGGCGCTCTGAATAAACACTACTTCTTGGCGCCGACAAATATTTTGCTGCAATCTTAATCAAACACGGAAATTCAAATTTCCTTGCTGCCACCATGTATATGGGTTGTCATGACGTGATATATTACTAATATTTAAGAAAAGATCCATTTCTCTTGAAACTGCGTTTGACTGAATTGCACTGCAAACAAAGGGGCGCGAAACAATCACGTTTGTACAAGTTTTTGGCGCTAAAATCCAGCCCAATAATTTGCCTAATATTCAGCTATTCGGTCAGGGGCCTCGCCGAATATTCGGTATTCGGTATACTGCCGAATATACTATTCGTTGCAAGTCTAATTATTACCAAAATTGAAGCTAATAAAAAAAACAAACCCCTTAGGTAACTGTATGTATATTTTGTTTCTATGAGTACTTAAATCTAAGTTTTCAACCCTAAATAACGGGAAACCGATGCATTTTGATGACTGGTTGGAATAAAGGGTTTATATTTCGTTTTTCCTAAAAAAAATTAAGTGTTATCTTATTTTTATCATAACTTTTTCAATTTTGAAGCTATTAACTTTTTACAGTGCTCATTATAAAGGTATTTCTGAGGAATTTAAAAAGTGTTCCGGAAGTGTATGTCATAAATTCATCGGTTTCCCGTTATTTAGGTTTGAATACTTAGATTTAAGTACTTGCCGAAAAAAATATATGTACATACAATTACCTATAGCTCATTTTGAATTAAAATTAGAAGGTTTTACAAAGTGTAATAAAACGACCTCCTTGGGTTTCACTATTTATTAATACCACAACGTTACACGTCTAAACAGTATCAATGCTGGAACCAGAATGCCTGCTTAATGCCCCTCTCTACTGCCGCCATTACGCGCCCCACCATTAAAATGGTATTGCCAGTAGTCAGAAATGAATTACCTTACACTCGTCCATCCTGAATGCGTGTATGTCCTCATACACGGACCCAGGCAAAGACACACAACCTTACACTCGGCGAGAGGAACATTCATATTTACATAGATAATAATAAAACTAATTAACGTATTGCATTCTTAAAAAAAATAAGAAAAATAAACACTTGTTAGAGAGAATATAAAACAAAATACATTGTCGATAAACCTTATAGCTAAGTAAACAGAAATACTATATAATTAATTCACAAAAAATCTACAAAAAGAACACAACTCAATTCAATCTCACCGCAATTTATTAGGGTATAAATATCTACAACATATCTGGTAGTCCCATACTTGCTCACCAATCAAATTCTAGCAGGACTATTAACCTAATTTCAGTTGAAGTAAGGTGTAGTGTTTGCTAACCATTCGAATTCTAGCAAGGTTTGAGATCCTGAAGTATTCCAACAGTCGCTCATTACTTACTAACCATTTCAATTCTAGTAAGAATGGCGTCATTTCAAACTTATATTCAGTTCGTAATTAACACTTGCTAACCATTTCAATTCTAGCAAGCATTAGGTATCATTGCATCACAATTATTGTTTAACAATCAGTATACACAATCAACTGTAAACTACGCCAGAAATATTTTATATTGTAAATATCATAAATTGATAAAAGGATATAAGTACCTACATAAAATTGTTGTAATGACCAAATAAAAGTATAATAATACATTTATTAATTTATAATCTTTTGCTGTCGTTGTTATATCACAATAAATTCGAGTAACACACTTATATTGCAAGAATTACTGTAAATAAAGGATTATTCTTAAGTATAAGTAAAATTAAATATATCTCAAATCAATCATCAGTATCTGATCCCACATAATTTACATCTTCATAATCATTAGTATCATCATGTATTTCTAATCCCACATAATTTACATCTTCATAATCATTAGTATCATCATGTATTTCTAAGGATGCGACATGAACCCATGGAAGCATCCGATCAGCCGCCACAGGAGTTTTACGTTTATTCTTAGAACCTGCTAAGCCCGATATTGCTGCTAATCTATAACGATCATTGCCTAAAACTCTCACAACTCTATACGGCCCTACATAAGAGGGCAATAGTTTCGTACTTTTTCCATCATTTTTAAAAGCTACTTTAGTTACCTTGACCAAGTCTCCCTTATTTTAAATAGGAGCTGGCTTCCTATCCTTATCAGTTTTCCCTTTGTTTTATTTGTTGTTCGCGAGTCCTATCTTTTACCGTTTCCCGTATCTTAATGATATCGTTTTCGTTACGCGTGTTTTGTCTTATTTCATTTAGTTTAGGATCAATCTCTGAATCCATTGATGTACCGAACATCACTTCGGCAGGCGTCTTGTCTTACCAGTAGTCTTTTGGGCTGTATTATTCAATCCCCATTGGACAACACCTATCTTTTCATCCCATGATCTCTCGTCGTCGTTTTAAGTTTTGAGCAGACAGAGTCAAGGATTGAACGATTATACCGCTCAACTTGACCGTTCGCCCTAGGACATGCCACAGCATTCAAAACGTGGGTTATACCCTTATCTAAGCAAAACCGCCTAAATGCATGGGAGGTAAAGCATGAACCACGATCACTGATGATTCAATCCGGGAATCGAAACACATAGAACATATCCTCCAGAGCGCGCAATGCATTTTGCGTATTTGTATTCCTAACTGGTTTCAAAAAAATGAATTTAGTGAATGCTTCGATAATGACTAATAGGTGAGTGTGGCCACGTTTCGATATAACAAAGGGACCTAAATGGTCTATGTGAACGGTGTGGAAAGGAATCTCGATCTTTTCTATTGTGTGCAGGTGACCTTCCTTTGCCTGCATGCCTTTCTTCGCAAATGCGCATTGTACGCATGCTTGAACATATTTTTTGACAAACTGACATTTTAGGGAACCAATATCACGGTAATATTATCTATAGTATAGATAATCACAATACTGTATAGATTCTATACAGTATTGTGACTCCGCCCTGTCCTTGAAAATAAATGCCTACACCGAACGCTGCGTTGGCACGCGGTAGGGCCGCCAGCCTACAGTATTTTATGTAGTTTTGTTTTTAACGCGAGTGTAGGTAGATTACTCGTTTGTCTCATTTTTCATCCTAACCACTTATTTATATATTATTCCAGATATTTTGCCCGATGGAAAAACCGAAATACCTAAA